AGAGAATGAAGAGTTGATTCAAATGAGTACAAACATGAATGTAATAATTGGAAAGCAGAGCCCAACATAAGCAAAAAGAGTTTTTGGTCGCGCTAACAGGAGAAGAATCCGGAAAAAAACTTTTCGGAACAATAACGAAGTAACAAGCGCATGCCATGTAAGGATAGAGAAAGAAGAGCTGATTCGAATGAGTATGAACATCAATGTAATAATTGGAAAGCAGAGCCCAACATAAGCAAAAAGAGTTTTTGGTCGCGCTAACAGGAGAAGATTCCGGAAGAACAAGTGATCAACGAAAGCGCATGGAATACCTGAGAAGAAAGAGAAAAGACAGCTTGTAGCTTTGATATCAAACACAAAGAAACAACAACAACATAACAGAATAGAAGCAAGTGAATAAACAATCGAAAGACGTACCTTCATCAGAATTCAATTTGAAACTTTCTTCGAACTTCCAGAAATGGATTGAGTTTGTTGGAGCAGAGCTCAACCCAAGGAACCGCGACGCGTCTGAAATCTTCTGAAGCTTCTATCTTCTGAAATAGTCTTACCGAAAAGTTTCACCTAGTTCACGATGACCGGCATTCTATTCGAAAAATTATGTCCCAAAATGGAAGAGAGCCTTATGTTAGTGTTGGAACTATATCCAGATCAATTGGTCCCGTCAAGAAACCCTACAGACAGTCCTGATTGGAAAAAAAATTTACGCAGAAGAAGTGAGAGAAGTGGTTTATTAAAAGAAACAAAATATACAAATAGAAAACAATCTAAGTTATAAAAAAAAGATAAAAAGTTAACACGAAGAAGACGGCGGTGTTATCTTGTCGTATAACACTTTTAGCACGTCCACGGCTCTTGTCAGAACTTCAGCTTCACTTTCATTAGCTGGTGGGCCTAAAAGTGATGTCATTATCTTAAATGTTAAATATAGAAAGATTCTAAAAATATATTTTTTGAAAGTATTGAAACGTACCAACAAAACTAACATCTGAAAGTGTGCATATTCCTTCAACTTGTCTTTTCATCCTTTTCAGGAGTTTTCCTGTTGTAGATTGCTAAATAAAATAAAGAGTAATCAAATGAGAACATCAGAAAAAAGAAACTTACTCAATTAACTACAGGATTGCGCAAGCTGGGGTCATTACTTCCACGGACTAAAACAAAATCTTTAGATAAACTACAGGAAAAGTTTAGAATTTATCAAATAAGACTATTTTTAAAAATTTTATATGAGAAAGGTTACGTATACCATACTGGTGCTGAAGGAGCAACTGAAGTTCTTCTATATACTAGAATTCTATTGATCAAGTTTTGTAGCTACTCATGAGATATTTTCCTTAAGGGACGCAGTAGACACGTTCACGTTTCAGAAGCATGAAACGGGCTATTGTTATTGTTATTGTCAGTTATGCTGATGAAAGAGGCACGAAAACAACAATCAGAAACGTGGCAAATGATCTTCGAGGGGTTATTCGACTGAGTTATGCTGTCCAGCGTGTTTTCAAACTCGCAGCAAGCTACTCTGACACACAAGAAATACGTGGAAAACGTGAAGCACAACCGCTCAGACAAACCAACATGTTAACGGAATGAACCCCATGCACGACCAAAAATTAATTTTTTTTGGGAAAAATGAAAAGTGTTGTTCACTTCAAAGCTCCGACATGATGTAGATCCCCGATGTGAGAAGATATGTCCTTCTAACCGTCATAAGCTTCTTCGAAATGATCAAAATTCCTTAATTTTTTTTGCATTAGAAACGTTACGAAAACCGCATGGAGCCGTGGGAAAAGATAAACCGAACCTAAAATCAAACTTGAACTCCCTTTATCGCATTACGTGGCCTAACCGTGCTTTCCTTAACTTATCGCCCTCTTCTAAGTGGAAACTCGATTGGAATTCCCATAACAAAGAACGGACAGTTCATCATAATGAACATTTATCTTTAAAAAAAGGAATGCTGAACCCGATTACACGTATTGAAAGAGTTTTCAATATTAAAGAAGTTTGGTAAAGTAGTTGAAGCCTTGTCCATAGTCCCATATAGCAATTCCAACACCATATTCCTCAGCCAGCTTCATTCGTAGTTCAATCGAAGCAATAGAAGGGTAGTATACAACAGAATTACTGAAAAACAAGCAATATAGTGTTAATTTCCTTGCTCAACTAACGGCGTCTTCAACATGTGCTCCAAACTATCAATATCGAAATCTAGAGTGGTATCGGGGCTCTTCAGAAGTTCAAGATATCTGGTAGCAATATATTTTGTATATTTATAAACGAACTCAACGCACTTATCATATTTAACACTGTGCTGACCTCCTCCCTTGGGATACTCATAGCCATAGTAATTAATACCTATCATAAGCTTTTTGGCCAAAAGCTGTGAACCATCAAGTACGGTTTGGATACTCTGAAAACAACTTGATCACCTGTAACATGTTTTAACTAACCTTCTCAATCCATTCATATGGGGCCACGCCAGATGGATTCGACGATGGGAAATCATAAGTCATCATCTAAATATTACAATTGAACAGTTTTGTCGAATTACCTTACTTGTATATAATCAACACGAGGTCCCAGCTGATAAAGATGTGAAGCAGTGAACATACCCGTCTCTCGACTAAGAAAATAATTAGCATACAACAATTGTACCTACTATTCAGTGAACAATGGAGCTCCCACCACTACGACAGTTTCCAAATCTTTCTCATTGAAAGAATCTCCCCAAGAGCTCAAGAATTCTATCATCAATCTAGAGATGCCAAAATATAATCTAGAAAGCAAGCTGTCAATACGGTGCTATTTTTCCTTGTGATTTTAACATAGCAGCGGACCAAACCTCCAGTACAACGCCATCAAATCGATGTCTCTGGAAAGAGACAGCAGTCTTCCCTCATTCAATCTATAGAACTTACAGTTATAAGATTGCGTAAAACATTCATACAACTATGGCTCCATTTTTCATCACTGAAAATTGAGATAACGTGAGAAACAACTGATCATAACTAACTTCATCATCTCAACCAGACTGTTGATACTCCATTCCTCGAATAGGACACGAGGAACAATTTTGACATCAGGGTTCTTAGTTTTCAAATCTTCCATCCATCCTTAAGCCAAAAACTTTAGATGGCTATATCTAAGAACTCTCAAACCATGATCAATATCATGATCTCCTGTTATATGACAAGATTCTTCATCAGAGGTTGGTTTCAACTATACAATTTGTGAATGTATTTTAAACTCATGATACCTGAAGCCAGACAGGAGAAATGTGTGAAAGTTTGTCTGCAGTGATCTTAGCTAGATCATATCCTTTGTTATTCCACTTGAAAAAACCAAACTCTATCATCAGTCAAGAAAACCTACAGGTGTAACGTAAGCCAAAGAAGCACCGTTGAAGTATGAAGTTTCATCTTCAGGCACACTTTCATGATCCGCAATGATGTTTTCTTTCGTGATAATTCTGGAGGGGAATCTCAGAACGTCCTGAAATTGTTGTTCTAGACATATAAACCTTTTGAAATACCCTTGACTCAGCGTAGACGAATGTTGCAATTAAAAACAATAAGGCGGTTTTAATCGCCATCTGAAATGGTTGACAGAGATGTTAAATCAAGCTCAACTTCGAGAGAGAAAGAGGAATCACACGATCATCGAATCGAAGTCTTCAGTTTCACGTAAATGAGATGTAATCGTAGATTTATAAACATTTTAACAATATAATATAACAACAAAACAATGATGATACTACCTATTCAAATCTATACATCTCAGATCACATTTACTTTCCTTTTTTGGCAAACTTGTCGTATCTCAACCACCATTGATCCCAATCATTATCCTTATCTCTCTTGAATGTAGGGAACTCTACGAGAGGATCTGGATGTACATCTTGAATTCTCAAGCCAGCTCTTTCCACCTGAAGAAAATTGATTCAAAGAAGAAACTTGATAGAGCTTACAGATGCTTTTGGCTCTTCAGACCAACTCTTGTACCACTGACGATAGTCGAAATTCCTGAACTCTATTCCGAATGTTATTGTACCTAAACAGCTGTATAAGAGAAGTTTAAAAAGAAGCTTCACCGACCATGCTCTTTAGCTTTTAACAGTTGCGCTTTCAACAAAGCATATTGTTCTCTGCACAAACCACTTTTCAAAATATCAATAGGCTGATCTGTTCCTTCTGAACGAGAATGCTATGCCGTGAGCATCATTTCCTACTTGCTTACCTGATAAGAACTGCTCTATCAAACTGGGATTACGATAATCAAAGAATAAATATTCATCCCTGCAGACCTGAAGACAAATCTGTGTATCTTAATTGGTTACGTTAACTTACTGGGCAAGCATGGTTAACATTGAATCTTCCGTATCGATCAATACAGAATAGACGAGGAGTTGGCTGCATTATCGATTGTCCCTATAAATTAATTATAAGCACTAGTGAATATTAGAGAGGGAACCTTCATATTTCTTTTGTACCAACGATGAACAGGTAGTCCTTTATATGCTTGCTCGTAAGCTGAGAATCACGGATGAAACGAAAAAGCTAAGACAACAAACCATTGCTTTGCATGAAAGCTATCTGTTCCTCTACAGAGTGTTTAGGTTTGAACATTCCCTTCTTCCTCTCAACATGATTGAATGCCCATCCTGCCTACAGAAAACGAAATTGAGAATACGCAATGTAAGAACAAACCTCTTCTGGTGTAGGAGTAGATTTCTGTTCTGCCTCACAGCTCAGTCTATAGGTGGCATGGATGAACCTCCTCGTTAAACTTCGACTGTTGGCAAGCATTGCCTTGAAAAGAAAAGAGTTGGAAGTTAGAAAAAGAAAGTGAAGATATGTGAAAGGCGTCAAGCCCTATGAGATAAAACACAGGGTTAGTTTTTGATTTGAAAGATTCATTCAAGCAAAGAGATAAAACTTTCGTGAGAATTCTTCTTATGAACACCAGAAACAGTCTACAAGATATATACAGAAAAGGAAAAGATCTTAGAGGAATGTTTTTCTACAAATCACATCACATTAATTATTTGTATGGCAGAATATAAATTAATAATTAGAATAAGTTATGATTAACAGCAAATTAAGTCCTAACTTGGAACCTTCCAGCCTTCGTTATGTATTTGACGCCTTTGAAAGGCTTGTACTTCTCTCCGTACATATCCAGACGATTAACTTTCAATCCTGAAAAATGAAATTATCAGCTAACAGATGAGAGATGAACATCCTACCGGAAACGGCTAATTGATTGATTTTGAATTTTACAGTTAGAGGAGGAGATTCAATGGAGCCAGTGCCAGAAACAGAAACCTGGAAGAATGAAGCTGATGCAAAGGGTAGGTATTGGTTACTGACCGGTCCTTTGAGAGAAGGAGGCTTCCCTAATTCTATTTTTCCAATGTTCCATTGAAGTAGTTTGGTAGTAGGATCGAATGAATACTTTCCGTGAGTGGTGATGAGATTACAGTTCAACACAGCTTTAGGCATCACGATTTCCACGACGACATCTTCTAACTTAAAGAAAGAGATAAGCGGAATGAGAGGAGGGAAATAACTCACAATCTTGCCCATACTCTGCTTGGGGCCAACAGTTAGTTCGAGTTTGCTTGAGCTGCCTCCTTTTAGAGTTATGAAGTGGCGAACATATATGGGGATAGCAACCATGCTAAACGAAAAATGGTTAAAGCGAAACAGAACTGGACAAACTTTTGCGTTGCAATGTGATAAGAGAGAAGTCGGAAGTTACCATCAGGAGGTACGAACGACAGCACACGCTCATTCTGAATCGTATGATTTGGAAAAGAAACGGATAATGTCACTGACTTCCCAGCGCTTAAATCTAACACAGGGATGGAAGGATACGTCATCAAGCAGACGAGGGTTTACCAAAGTCATAGTCAAATCCGGCATTCCCGAGAGTTTGCACATGACGTCAATCTTGAAGTTTTTGTTGTTCATTACTTAATTGTTAATAAAAACTAACATATCCCTGGATCTCAGCAAAGACAGTTGATCCTTGTTTGTCAATGATGGCATCGATCTCCTCGATGACATCAAAGTAAGCTTCATTGTTTGTGTATTTAACGCCTTGTCTTCTCCAAGGAATATTAGATAATTGACCCGTAGGCAAAGTCTCAGAATGGTTAGTTCTTCCAGTGACCTGAGATAATGATAATACCCCAATAGGTCATAGATTCACACACCTGGTTAGCTATGTTTCTCAAGAAGTTCGGAGGTTTAATAAGATCTTGAAGAATATTCAACTCAGTTACTAGTGGATAACCATTGTCAAGCATTTCATCGAGAAGCTGAAGAAGTAGAAACATTATAAAAGAATTGAACTAGAAGCAACTCACTTCAAAAACCATCACACAATTCTCTTTGACTGAAGAATCAGAGCATTCATCGAAGTACTGAGTCAAAGTACTGACGACGCGATGTAGAAATTCAATAACCATCAATGGTGGAGCTAAAGCCGCATATAAACAGAAAGAGGTTATAGTAACTTACTTTCAGTTGTCGTAACTGCTAATAAGAACAACTGATTGTGGTAAACACTTATGAGATAATGATGAGGAGTAGATATGATAGGAGGAACATCTTCGGGTGAACTGGCCTGCAGAACAGAATATCAATCGAAGAAGGATGTAGAAGAACACTTACTTTCTTTTGAGCATCGAAAAAGTAATCACATATAGATCTATGAATAACAGCTTTCCAATGTTTCTCTAATATGACATCTCTATAATGGAATACTCAATACGCTGACAAAGAATGAATTACTTACCCTGACGCATTTACTATGAACAAACTGTTCAACATGTTACAGAAAAGAAGAAGCTAATCGAACTTAAATGTGAGGAATATTCCAAATATGGATAATCCAAGCACAGATGTTCGGAAGCTTCACCTCGAATCAATCTTGCGCATTCTCAGTGAAATTACCATGCACCGAAAGCGTGCCATGCCTCGTTTTAGCTCACTTTGTGTGCTCCGAGATTCTTGACTTATTAAACTTTTTTCTTCTGTTTTGTTTTGTGGTTACGAGTTTTCAATGAACTTAATGATGATCAATATATTATGCTTTAGATGTCTGGGGTACGTCTAGCTGGAACAGCTCTCCGTGAGCTCCGTATTCACCTCTGCCAAAAGAGTACTGCCTCAGGTAAGCTTTTCCCTAACTATCTTTGTATTTGAGATCTTTAGCTGGTGTTCGTTCTTTCATCGAAAGTGACTATGTTGCTATCAAGAAAGCCAACCCTAACTTCCCAATCTTGATTCGCGAAGCCTCCGGAATAGCCCCAAGAGTTTTTGCCAGGTATGTTTTGAAGCAAACGACATAGCATGAACCTTCCATCTTTAAGATATGAACACGGTGTTGAAAGATCAGTGCAATTGCAAGATGCTACCAAAGAGAATGTTCTTTCTGCTATTAAGGACTTGGCTAGCAAACAGTAAAAGTATAGGGTTAGGATAAATGTTTATTGCACTTTGCTAGATAAAGTATGTACAATCAGTCCGTATTAATTGTAAAGGAGATCAGAGTAGAAGATCGAGGGCTTTTTCCATCTTTCCGTAGCCTAGAACGAGTTCAGTTTTCGAATTCAGTGTTGCTTCAGCAAACCTTTTTCCAACATTCAGCTTCATCTCTTATGTTCATTTCATTTTCGTTGTGTTGTCCTCTCAGTAGTATTGGGGGTTTCAACGATTTCTCTGAGATCGCAATGTTAATAGCAACACTGGGGCATTCATTGATGAAATCTTTCGGAATGGAAATGATTGCTTCTAAATAGCTTCTGAAGAAAAGAATTTGCATGGTATTAATAGCTTTCACTCACCGATGGAACCCTATCACAGAAGGATAAAGAGCGTTGTAGGTAGTCGAGAAAGTGAGTTCAGTTTTTTCAAACTGCAATTCTTTGTGATTCCATAGAATCTTCCAAACTTACATTAACATTCAATCCATGCAAGCCAATCACCCGCTCAGGGAAATTCTCCATGTAATATTTCATTCTATCTAAGCTTACAGTTTTCAAATCCACTATTTCATCGGCGAAAAGGATGTATGTTGAAGTTAATCCCTTCTGCGTGAAACATTTGACTATCTACATCAGTTTGATTGCTATGCGGTTCTCTCTGTATGACTTACTTCGTTTCTACCAAAGAACTGGGTTGGTATAGCTAACCCAAAGTCAGCGCCATGTGGAGGAACACCTCTAACATCAGGCCAAAGAATGCAAATCTAATTGGAGATATGGAATTAGCTGACTGGATTAGCAAATGCTCACATTTCTAACAGTGATTGAATTTGTGATTGAACTGACGAGGTGTTGCAATTTGGCAGATTGCCTATCAGCAGCTCTTATTATGAGTGTCACTCCATGACTGAATTAGAAAATGAATAATGTCGTACAAGTCACCTATTACTCCAAGTTTTTTCTCGATAGTGGAAAAGTTCTATGCGAAAGTTCTTCTCGGTGTGCTAATCGTACTCTGTCCAGAATGATCTGAAGGAATATCTATGAAAGAATTGGAGAACTCAAAACCTCCATAGTAGTTACGGCAATGCTCTCGACATCTTTGAAATATCGGTTATATAAATAATGACACATTTGTTTCATGGAAATGATTCGCTCCGGAGGTATAGAATATAAGAGATCAGTAACCTGGAAATAACACAGCGTGACGTGAAGAAAATTAGCATATCTCGACGCGTTTGCTCACGTGTAGTTCAAAACAATCATTTCTAGTCTTTCGCTTTAGCAGACCGGTTGAACTCACATAGTAATGAGAGAGTAAAATTAATTGTGGTTGTTTTCATCGAACAAACACGGGTTGAACTTACAAGTAGCACGTTTTCTTCAGCAATAACAAGAGCAGCTTCAGACCAATCGATCACTTCCGCAAAAGGTAAAACCCAATCATCTGACAAAACGACAGGAATGCAACCAATTTTAAGGGCTTCCAAAAACCTGTGAGAAAATGTTTCGATCATTTCTCGAATGCGCATATACCTGAATGAGCCAAGTCTTCTTCCACGAGGTGCTAAACAGAAAGTAGAATTAGTCATGGTCGAAACATAATCCCATTTGTCGTATTCCAAATTGTCCAGCTCACACCTACTATCTTGATGCTCCTGAAGTCAATGATTTCACTCCATTCTACATTGAAAGCATTACCTTCCAGTCATTGTTATGCTTACATGTAGTGATCATGGCAATCGTATCCCCGTTGTGGAGATGATGTAGAGCATCCCTGGTTTCTGACCCGATTCCTAAGAAGAGAGGAGTATTTGTATTAACGTTATAGTTTACCGTAGACATATCTCTTGCCTTTGAAAGACACTAACAACGAATCCAATGGTTCAAAGTCTATTTCTCTCTGTAGACGATTAGCATTTGATCCTTCATTTCACTAGGAAGATACCTCGATGTTAGACCGTAGATCATGAACTCCATGGAATAAAGGGAAGGAAACATCGAATCCATACCGAAACCTCTGTAACATAGTCAGTGGGGATAGGTAGAAAGAAACAATAAGATACCTGAACACTCGGAGAAGCTCTGGCGATTATAGCTTTCCCAGTATCAAACCCTAAGTTGTGATCTGAATAATCTGGGAAAGTTCCGTGATAAAGATTGAACACGACGAAATTTCTACCCTAAACGAACAACATCAATAGGATTTCATTTCTGACTCGGCGCACATCATTCCACAGTTCTGCAGGTAAATTTGCAATTAAAGCATCTAAATCTGGGATATAGTTCTCACTGCAACAGCATTGATTGAAAATACGAATTTTTAAGAATCACCTTATCCTATCGCGATCAGTAGTGTCTATTGATAAGACGAATATACAAGCTTCGTTTGGATCTTCTGTATGCAGAGTACTCTGCTTCAAAGCCGACAGAATTTTGCTATATGCTGGAGATATTATCTGTCCATCTTCGTTTGGGAGGACATGAATCTGAAAATTCATAGTACTATGGGATAGGAACTGTGAAACTACTTTATATGAATCATTTGAGCATTTCGTGAAATTGAAGCATTTATACATATCACAGGCCTCATTCCTGTAACTCGGTACTTACTGATGCAGATAGCTTTTTCACCTGTTATCGGGGCGGATTCCTATGTTAGGTTTATCAGACCAGTAGGGAACATCTTTCTTCACTTCATCACATTTTCGATTCCCCAGTGATGAGAGCAAGAACACTAAACTCACGACTAGAATGAAACAGCCATATCTTGCTAAGGTTCGCATGACATTGAATCTGCTAATGAACTGGCTATTAGCTGAGACTAGATCTTCACTGTGTTGTAAGTAGAGTATGTTGAAACATGAACAGTAGAGGAAACAACCAAGTTGAACAATACTTCATATTTAATCAGTAATAAAGCACTTGGAGCAAAATTGAATGATATCATGGGCACAATGATATGATAACTGCTTAACTTTCTTAAAGACTAGTTGATGAAAACATTAGTAGAATGATGCATTCACAGAACCGGTTGGGAAAAAAAACAAAAATCAACAGGTAAAAACTAAGTGGAGAAAATCTCAGCTACATCGAAATAGTCCGGAACGTATTCCGGCTTAGATTTCTTCTCAAGCTTTGGTAAAGGTCTCAAGAACACTGGACGCTTATGAAGCTCACTAGTTGTCAGCTGAAACAGATAAATGGTTCAAACAACGATTTAACTAGAAATACCGAGATGACACCACGCAGCAACTTCTTCAACATCTCTCTTCGCTGTTTTTCTTGCATGCTCTCTTCCCCCGTAATCAAGCGCTGAATCTTCTTATCAAAGAGTTCAACATCTTGTGGTGAAGCTTCTGGAACTTGTTGAAGTACTCCTGGGAATGAATTCGAGAACTTTCTCTGAATTTTGAAATTAGAACGATAACAGCTTCAATGACGTACTAAAGTTATATAAATATGGAATATCAACCCTAATAGTGAAGGACCCGCAACTTCATCGGGGCCATGGATTTGTAAAGATTGAATACTGGAGAAGAGCATAGCTACGGCAACTTGGTCATCGTAACTCGCCGAAAGCTGATAAAGAAAGTGATGAAAAGTTAGGAAACAAAGACTTACTCTATCGACGAATACTCTACAAAGGGGAATTATACGGATAGCGGATATGGTATCCCTCCATGTGAGAATTGAAAAGGAAGTGTACAACATGGAAGCCAAGGCAACCTGTGATGAGGCTAAGAAACGGTTGGTTAAGTATAACATTACCTTATTGTCGAGAAGCCAGTGACCAAGAGGTCCAATACGGATACTACCTCTATCATCAACAGTTGGAGAAGTTTCTTGTCCCAAATAGAAGAGACGAAGAAGGAAAACATACTCTCGCGTTATAACACAAGCAAGATGTTCATTGAATAACTCTTCTTGTGTGACTTCGGAAGATTCTGAAAACACATGAGAGTTTATAATTTTCAGGCAATTGTAGTTCAACCATAGTCTATAGAAGCTATTTGATTCCACAGCTGGGTGAGGTAACTCTGTAAATGCTCAGACATAGTTGTTAACAATGTGGTGAGACAATGTCTTTTATCTTGTGGGCAATTGAAAATTATGTTTCTCCTGAAGAAGTATAGAATGAACAAAGCCTCCAGCACGAGCAAGAGTCTTACCATCCTTTCTTAATCCAAATACGGAGTCGGTAGATATCCAGCTTTGGCAATTCCGCTGCTGTTGAGTTCAAGTATTGTTCAAAATGAGGATCAGAGTACAGGGTATCGGCAAACTTAGTGGTACAGTAGGATAAGATATTCACACTGTACACGAATATTATAGATCGAGAACATCACTCTTACCAATTTTCAGACAGACACGTAATGTATTGACGGTTGATATCTACAACATCTCTGCTTTCGGGAAGGCTTTTTCCAACTTGGGTTTCAGATCCCTCGTTCATGAGAGCTGTAATCACAAGGTCAAACATGCGAAAAAACATCTCACTCACCATAGATTTGCTGTTTTTCTGCAGCAGTCATTTTCATGATATCTTTATAAGAGCTATGCATTCTAGCTATAGAACTAGTGGCATTGATTTCGAGCACAAACTTCGAAAGCTTGAACAAAGGGGCATACAAGGACTTCATCACGTCCTTCATGGGGCTATCTTTCTCAACTTGCATCAGAACTCCTTCAAGAGCAAAGAGATTGCAACGAAGCTGTAATTTTGCATAGAAAACGAAATTCAGGGACTAATCACCATTTTTCTACGTTCCACATCTTCTCTGGTTGATGAATCTGGATCGTCCTCAGATGGAGCGATGTTAAAACCATTGAAAGCAATGAAATCATCCAAAGTGTTCAATTTACTGAGAATCATGAGGTCTTATCACAAACTGTGAATCAAGACTTACTTTACAGTAGAGATGATGTACTCAGCAACACTGGCCACGGCATAACTCAGTAACTCTCTTTTATGGGCAGGATCATCAACCAAATTGGAAAGAGCAGCCAAGACCTATGAGCGACTTAACTCGGTTCAAAACAAAGGCGAATACTTGAATGAGCTGAGCCATTTGCATTTCGGATATTGAGCTTTGTACATCGGAACACAAGGTGACCATTTTGTCCACATTATTCTACAAGAAAACTGTTCAGAGAGAGCTCTCGTCGTTATGCTCACCTTCAGAAAAGTTGGAAACAGGGAAACAACTTTGAGAATCTGACTGATGCAATGTCTGTTCAAGACTTTATGACATTTCGAAGAGCACAGACAATGCTTGAGTACCGTGACATACTTGAACAAGCCATCCCAGTTGCCCTCGTACAAAGGCAGAAAAGCAGAATAAATACTCAGAACCTTGATCATTTTGATAATCAGAAGGACATGTGTTAAGACTCACTTCACTAGCAACATCCCAGTTTGTCATTTGAGAAATGATATCGAGTAGACTGTTGGCGAAGGTTTCAAGTCGGTGTTTTGTCTCCTACAAAAACAGAAATCTTTGATGGATTCAAAACTAAAATTTACATTATTCGATATGTAGTTGTTCTCCAAAGCAGTTTGGATGACTGTTTTTGAAAACTTCTGCATAGGTTCCCAATCATCGGTGGGGACTGAAAATCATGAAAACTTCGATGTACAAGACCATGCTTCTCACTCGATACAGCATCCGTTACAATTCTTTGGAAAACCCATGCATTGAAAATCTGAAGTAATTGAGGCAAATGTCTTGGCATGCTTTGTCTCATCAACAGTCTAATGCGTTCTCTCAGTTCTAATCAGAATCAGTTACACAGAAAGGTCTACTATCTTACTTATGAAACTAGTAGTCCATTCACTGTCATCATCGAAGTCCATTTGAGAATAATGTCGAGCAGTTGACTCTTGCTTTTCAGATGGATATCCGTGCTATAAGAGTCAAAATATTAGAAGATTCCATTGAAGGAGGAACCTTCAACATCGACTCAGGTAAATGGTCCAGGACGTTTGTCATTACGTTACAGAACTGAGAGTGCTCTCCCAGAGAACATTGCGAGATGATTACGAAAACTTCTATAGCTTCAAGTTTCAAATACTGAAAAAATTCAACTCCAAAAGAATCTACTCCGAAAGCATACGAGAGATGGGTGATGGAAGAACGCGTTGATAGCGGACAGGTACACCTCGAAGTTAGGAGGAGGACTTTTCTCAGACCAAACTTTGGCCAAATTATCTGTAAAATGAGAATCACAATGATATTTGAGGAAATGAGTCCTACTTCCTATAGAGGATAAGAGATCACACAAGGCTTTCAAATATAAATAATGGCTTTCGCTTGAATGAGCAACTTCGGCGGCTCTACTCGTAGTTGTAAGAATGGCGGATATGACTTCGGATTGGAAAAAAGCAGCTACGACACTTTCAGTTTTTTCTCTGAAAGCTTTGAAAATCTTGAAATAAGAAGTTAAACCACAGACTTCTTTCTGATTGATAATGCTGCGAGACAACGGGCAGCGATTTCATAAATGTTGAGATCAGGAGTGTTCAAGTGAACTACCACAAGTTTGACTAGTTTATCGACTACGGGATCAAGTGAAGTAGAGGGAGCCCATTCGCATACCTAAAATCACACTTACTAATCCTTTCACGTTTTGATTATTACCTCCGCAAGAAAACTAATAACATATTTAATTATCAAAGCTACTTCGCTATTGATTGGAACGTTCTGACACGCTTCAATCCTCTCTAGAGATATTCTCAGTATATCCGGCAAACAATATATTATCACGTTATGCATTTCCTTCCTACGTTGCGAGGACTCAAAAAAACTGGTAAAATATGAAAGAACAGGAGACTTACCGCTACAGTAGCCAGAGTAACTACATTTTCTACAAGTCTACGAAAGATGGCAAAAGAAGTACAACAGTGGAGATAGCCTGTCAAAAGAAGTACTTCGACTCTATTGTAAAGACGGGACCTACTCATTGAACTCATTTTCTCTAACTGAGGAAACAGTTCAGGCCAATTCTGAGGCCATTCGTGTTCCATCATGGCAACCACACTCCTAGCGGTACTTTCTATGGTTTGCTGTAAAATAACTGTTTCATGCGAAGAGCTCAAACTCAATCACCTGGATAGGACCCAACTCTAAATAATTCAAAATCTTATTCCTCAGGCAAACCCGAAACTCCACAGGAATTGAATTCCATTTATATCTATATTTATAGCATGCGTAGTTTAATCTTCTCATCTCTATTATCTATACCTCAGCAGCTCTTCTACGAAATTCCAACCGACGTGCGAAAGAAGATCGTCTCTTAATCCTACTAACTCGAATCCCACTTCTGCCAGTACTTCAGGATTTCCTTCTTTCAGAGATTCAATAGCCTGAACAAAAAAACTGTGTTTACCTCTTCTCAAGCCGACAAACCTTGGTGGCGGCAATTCTTTCCTCATTACTGGTCGAAGGATTATTAATCAAGCACACAGTTTGGACTATATTTTGAATTCTTTCTCTATCCATTATCTAGAAAACAAGATTTAAACTTCTATCGATCTTATTAAAGTAAGGAGTTTAGATATTCCTTCAAAAAAAACAACTGTAGCATAGTCAACCAGTTTTTGCCCCAAAGCTAAAAAAATGCGCTCCATAGACATGATTTCAAAATACTTCACCCCCCGCGAAATGCTAAGTTAGCCGGCAAATAGAGTTGTTCAACTAAGCTTCTCGTAGCTTCTACCGGTCAAGAGATTCAAACAGGGTTCACTTTACACGATTGATTCCATAATTACACCGAACGGTTGCATTCCTTAATTGTGTCTTTGTCTCATGTGATAATGCTATAAGAAGGTTGTTTTTGTTTGTTGTATTCGTCTCATTGTTCAATACAGTTACACTTAGTTTTATAAAGAATTGTCTTCTACTACCTTTTTTTGTTTAAGAATACATATGAATTACTCTAAACGGATTAATTTTTAATACCATCGGAAATGAAATTCAAGTATATTGATTGTACTACATCATGAATACCATTCTTCATTTCCTAAAACTGTATTATAAACAATGCCACCAGAAAAAAATTCGAAACAAGACTCTAATGTATTATGTATTCTAATTTCCCTGCTTTTGGTAAGCTTCTTCGACGAAATCCTTTGAGAGTTTTTGTTTTGAGATGCTTTTGGTAAATGTTTTGATTGTCTTTCTAATACGGGTTGCCTTGGATGCTACTGATGAAATCAATGAACCATTGATCACAGGTAAAGTATTTTAAGATCAGCTTCGAGAATGAAACTCGTAGGCGAGGATAGAGCAAAGCTTTTCCTGTTTCTCCTCGTTTTTATAATGACTTTCTTCTTTGGTTGTTGGTGCTGCTGTTGTTGTGCTTGTCTGCCTTGCAGGTAGACTATGGCATGAGTGAAAGTTAAACTGATTCTAGGCTTCTGCCTGAGTGTCCATCTGCATTTGGAAATATGATAACTGCTATATCTCATAAATTCATCTCTTCTCATCCATCTATAAGAAAAAGATTCAGCATAGGTCCTGCCTCGTTCTGATATGAATGTTTGGAGTCTTTGAACTTCCATAATTAATATTTCAGATGAGGATGAGATAGAGATTGCGGAAGTAGTTGTGGCAGCAGAAAACTTGGGAAGACCCCCACTCTCAGCAAAAAATACAGATCAGTTCGCCTACGAGAATCCTATACCAATGATGGATGATATTGTTGAGGTAAAGTTATGATTGACAAGGGATAGTAAACATAGTAACGATTTAGTCTGAGGCAGCAAACAGAGTGATTGCCCCTCCTGAAAGATTGCCTCTCGGAAGATTACGTTCATACAGTATAGATGTATCTTATAAATGAAGAATATACATTTCTTTGATTGTTTTGAAATGAAAGAAACACAATGGTGTGTTGGTCTGTTCACAACTTGTGAATACAACCGCTCTCCACGTCTTGTCATCATAAATGAGCTCAAATGAAGATCGAGCGCTTCCAGTTTTCAAATGAATCTTTTGACTTCTTTAATTTCATTTTCTATTCGGGTTCTTATAAACTGTTCAGATATTTGTTATATTTTATTGTTTTTATATTATTTTCATAGTAGTCTGTTGTTATACATGGCTGAACTAATTGATGTTGGAAAACATTGCGAACTCGATTCATGCAAGAGATTAGGTGAGCTATTATTAGGTAATTGCTGGATTGAATGATTTCTCTAGATTACACTCCTTTCAATTGCCACCTTTGTTCTAAAAGTTTTTGGTAAGTGCCTGTGATAATATTGTTTGTAAGGAGGTATTCAGTCAAGATCACAGACTAAATCATGGTTGCTCTGTATCGAAAGTATACGAAGGTCCGAGTGAGGGGACAAGCTTTGATCCTGTTCGTCCATACTTGTGTAGTTATGAGGTGATGAGTTGATTGCTTTCGGAAAACCTCTTCTGTTTAGAAATGTCCAAACGCTGAGAGCGTGAAGATCACATGTCGATTATGTCTGTTAAATTTCTGTTTGAAGTGAGGCAAAAGACACTTCGACTGACTGAAATAGTTAAGGCACCGTCATGAGGACGAGCACAGTTGTACTCACATGCCAAAAGACCCGAAAGAGGAAGTAGAGAAGAAGATGGCGGCTATTCGAGAGGCTTGTGGAGTGAAAGAGGAAGAGAAACCACAGGCCAACACGAAGCCAAAGAAGGTTACTTTCATTCTGTTTATCAAAGCAGTTTTCTTGTTTGAAGGTCTTGAAGTTAACAGAAGCGCAAAAAGCTAGAATGGACAAAGTCTCTTTGATGAAGTTAAAACTTAATAACAAACTTCAATTGGGACCGAATGAAAGTTTGATTGTGTTTGTGGAGTGGTCAGATGGACGGGAACCTATCATGATCAGCAAGAGTTGGACGATAGGAAGAGCTATCAGTTCGTTTGTAGAGAAACACACAGAGTTTTCAGGGGTTTGGCTAGTTTTTTCTTTTCTGCCTTTACCATAAACTAGTTGCAGACATTGTCAGTTCATCATATAGGGAATGATAAACAATTGGATTATTCTGAAACATGTGGTCATGTATTGAAAGAACACGAGACAATCTATATCGAACGGAAGTAGGAGTGTAAGCTTTGTAAGTTTTTTTTATGATCCGATTGTAGACTTTATATATACTCATAGGCAATAGCTATTCATGGCTCGAAGAGAGAGAAGCAAGTACTTATTATGATTTTGAGTGGTTTTTGAACATCTTAACTCACTATGTTCTCAATTTCATATCGCATTTTCAATACTTAGCCTAATCCAAAGACGTATCTATTCGTAAATCAGATGAAAATCACTTTTCTTCAGCAAACATGAAGTTGTATAAACTGTTTGAGAACATGAAGGCTGCACTTATTGTCAATTTTGTGTAAAAATCTCTCCAATTCTCTTTTTTTTATTTCATAGAAATGTAAGTATATAGCCTGCTTGAACTGACTTTATTCACGATATCCGATTTCCTTGTGCTATGTATGAGCATCTCTGATCAATAGGAATATGCTTAGAGATGGCTAAATAAAGAGCTTGTTGTCATGATGAAGAGCATGAGAGCAAGGAAGATCTCATCATTTATATTCTCACAAGTGTTATAGAATCTTATTAATTTCTTGAATGAATTGTTACATACACTGCTTTCCTTCTTGGAATCATCTCTATCTTTTGACAAAAAAAAAATGGAAAAAGAATATATATGAAAACGCTAGATGCCGACCGGATGTTCTTCTCAGAGCACACCCTATCATCGCTTTCGTTGAGTGTTCAAAAAATTATTTTCTGACCAAGCTTCGGCTGTGGTTCATGGAACTTGAACTATTCTCTACTCATATTACTCAAAGGTTAGAAAGCAAGTCATGTTCTGTTGAAAAGATGAAGAAAGGACATTAAGCCCTCTTCTTTTCGTTTCAATCATTGTCTAGATTAAAGCTGAAGTTTGTTCGATTCTAAGTGAATTAACCATACAAGTCATGGAGCTAGTTGCCAGATGTTCTTTGACTTCCTTTAACGAGTGTCCATCTCTATGTTTAAAGTCTCATCTATAATTAGATAGTGTGTGATTAAGAAATTAGCCGTACAACACCGGACTCCAGCTCATTCGTTTCGGTCTTCCCTGTTCGTATCTCTAACAAGGTTTCATAGACTAATGATCTACTTAACTGGAAACCGATAAGTTCTTTGAGTCTTAGCCTATCCCGCTGATCACAATAGAGAGAGAAAGAGATAGAACCGAAAAAATTGCTCACTTTTCGTGAATTTGATCGAGCAAAACGGAGTCTCATCACTGTTGCCAGATTCTCATCACCTCATTTGCGTTTCCTCTTCGTTTTATTTCTCTCTCATGTCATTCTTTATTCATTTATTATTCAGTTCCTTTTCTCAGTCTTCTGTTCATCGTTCTATTCAATTTCTCACCTCCAAACTGTAAGCTATATACTAATTAGGAGTAGATGCAGCACTCAGTGGGAGCGTTGTGATGTTCATTCTACTAAAACCAAAGATGATTGCTTTATTCCTCTTTCATCTTCTTGACAAGTTTTGTATTCGTATGCTCTTCTTCTGTTTAACACCTGTAATACGAGAAGATAGAAAGGTTGGTAACGTATTGAAACACACAGCGTGAACAACCGCATCTCAAGGTGTAAGCTTGAAAAAATGAAAAGTCGCGTGAGAGAGAGACGTGACCGAAATAATTGGAATACGTTGCATGTTTCACGAGAAGTACCGAAAATGTGGGAAAATTGTATGAATGCCCTTTCCACTTGTAACATGCTTACATATGTCTCATTCTAATTCAATCATCAGCTTTTCCAGATTGTCTAATTTGTAAGCGAGAAAGAGAAAGAGAGAGGAAGAGAGAGGAAGAGAGAGGGAGTGAATGAAAATGAAATAGATTCTGAACTAATATATCTAATCATCTTTAATCTTTAACAATTAAAATAAAAATCCATTCATCATTAAATGTGCTTTACAATGAAAATTAAAAAATAATTTCCGTTGGGCTGCTCTTTAAGCTGAGAGAAGGACCTTCACCCTTTTTCGAAATTACAAGAGTGAGAGAGTGAGAGGCGAGACGGCATGCATAGTTTGTTGTATGAAGTGAAAGTGCTTGTATGCGATTTGAGCTTTTTCTTCCAAAAAAGGAAACTGCATGGTAAAAATAAAAAAAACACACACAATTTTTAGAAACAATTTTGGTGGAAAATATCATATTTTTCTGCGAAGAATGAATTATCGTTGCGTGATTTTGATTAAGCCTTAGTAAACAATATTTTTGAGTTTGTTCGTTCACAGGGAATCTCGTGGAAGAGGTTTTCATGAAATATTCGAGAGAAATAGATCGAGAGAGAGAATTGCTTGGAGTTTTGGAGAGAGTTGGAAAGAGAGAGGGAGAGAGAGAGAGAGAGAGAGAGAGAGAGATTTGGAGGGAGAGAGAGAGAGCTATAGAGAGAGAACGAATGTGTATATATATATATATATATATATATATGAGTTCATGCCTCTCCAACCTATTTTTCTAATCTCAATTTTTTAGATTAAAGACTATATTATAGTTGAAAAGAGAATGACTGTGTCTCTGTGAATATTTGCTTCCGTGTGCTCATCAATCATCTCCCCCCTCCACATTCTCCTTCCTCTCTCCCTCTTCAAGTTTTTTTTTCCTTTCGGATTAGTACTTTCTTACTTTTTCTATTTTCTTTTGAATATCATTCGTCTTACCACGTTCACACTTCGGATTGTGGATTTCATTTTCTTTATTAGGCCCACATCTAGTGCGCCTAAAATGAATTGAGGGCGTCGGGGAGGCTTAGTTACAAATAGCCTGGGCCGAAGTTCAAAGCTTTGCCTTCGAAACTCTTTTAAGGAGTAGAATGGTCGATTGCTGTTTCTTTTTTGTTTCATTCACTCAATTTGGAGTTTGAGTGAATATTGCGACAAAGAAATCTGCTTTAACAAGTTGCTGAAGACAGAGAACGAAATCAAAACAAACAGTTGGCTTCTCAACTTCGCTGCTAGCCCAACGATCCAGAAACGTGTTGAGCAATCTGTCTTTTTCGGAAGACGAAGGACAGAATAATATTTTTGAAAACTATATGTTAAAGAAAATGCCCAAAAGAAGTCATTCCTTCTCTGGTTTGTATACGTCAAGAACTACATCAACATAGAGAGGAACATAAAAAAGAGATGAAAATGCCTAGATTTCATCGTTTATAAGTGTTTGCCAGTTTGTTCTCTGAGATACTTACGTTGACTACTGTGTTTCTGATCATTCTCCTAGGTCTGTGCCAAGTTCTAAGCAGGAAGCGAATGTTTGATGAAGCTTTCAACAATCTCTCCTCTCACCTTCTCCGTTCGTTCATTCTCTTCTAACTCTTTCTCTCTCTCTCATTTTCTTATTGTCTTTCCTCTCTCATAGTCATATATCTCCAACACACAAATTAGATGCTAATTAGGTAAAGGAGGAAGCTTAGAGAATGGAATCTTATCAAGTGAGCAATCCTAAGAATTACCATCTCTTGGCATCCTTCGCCCAACTTTTCGTATCAGTTTAGCATAACTTGAACGGAGTACTTTTCTTGTTGAATAAAGAATTTATCAGAAAGATCTTCTAAAAAATTCTTGTGAACATGGCATGTAACGAATTCTTAATCATACAATGCGAAACCACAACGATGAGGAGGATGTTTAGTTGAGCTGATCGAGCACTTTCATCATGCACTATCACCCGATCTCTGTCTATCAAATCATATCATCAGTTTGCTTTTTTTCAACTGTTTTAATTTCATTTAATCCCTTGTTCGGTAATTTTTCATCCAATGATCATACACATGTTTGAGAATTTCTCTTTACTACGTTCATTCCACACACACATAGACACGAGCACACACACACACACACATACAGACACGTCCACGTTGACGATGTTTTCTCCTACTACTCCTCCATGCCATAAGAGGAAATCTTTCATGATATGTACGCATCTCTCTCTCTCTATATCTCCGTTAGTTGTGTATTTACAAAACTACCCCAGTTCGTATTGAATAATTAAGTATTATTGAGAGGAGGGCAGATTTGTAGTGCTCATCCGGAGGTGTTCAGATTCCCATCTCTCTCGTGTGATATCGTGAACTGCCACCGTAAAATTCATTTTTCCAATTATTTTTTTTCTGTTCGTTTCTCTTATACTTTCTCGCATCTCTTTTTCTCTTTTTGTTTTCCAAAAACCACATTTGCATGCAGGAATCTCTTGTTTGACAATTTTCAAAGGAAAAAAATAAACAAATGGAGCTGTCAAATTTTTAATTTGAGAATAATCAGCGAGAGAGGCTTCCAAATGACAAAAATTAAAACTTTTTATTTGATAATTATGGAAAAGAGTTTTTCATTGAATCGCCTCTTCTATCATCCAAATTGGATCAAATTGAAAGTTGTGTGGTGCATGCCTGTTGTTATCAGCAGAAAAACAAAAGTAGAGAGAGAGAGAGAGATGGAGATGAGAGGGAGGGAGGGAGTGTGTGGCCATGGAATGATTCTTTCATTCCAATTCAAAAGTCCCTTAACTCCTCGTGTGGGTGTTTCCGACCTCCCCAACTAACACTGCCATTTCGTCTTCAATTCTCATTCCTACTTTCTATTTATATTTATAACGTGCTCATTCAGATAAAAATCATATTTGATTACTCTCAAACACTCTCTCTCTCTCTCTTTACCTCTCTTGATCTCTCTGTTTCCCTTTGTTTTTTACTCACTTCTTCATTTCCTTTTTTTTTGGAAATTGCCAGCAAGTTGAAGATCAGCAAGATCTCTTGCCAAGCTTCGAAATCCTGTGTAATCTTCTATTCTGTGAGCTAAAATAGAAAGAGAGAGAGAGAGATAGTGATGAAAAGTAAAAGAGAGAGAGAGAGAGATAGAGAGAGAGAGAATATCTGAGAAAGGAAGATCATTAAGCAAAATACTTTCAAACTCTAAACAAAAAACCTCTGACCTTATTTAACTCTTGAACAATCTGCCTTTTTTTTTTAATCTATCAAGAGCTCCCCAAAAACTTTCTTGCAACTTAGAGCTTTGTCACAAAAAGTTTTCACCAAAACATTCCCAGAAAAAAAGGCGATAGATAGCTAGCAGAAGCTGAATATATGGAGAGAATGTCAGAGAAAATCCGCAACCTAAAAAGGGGAAATAAAATTTCCTGTCAACCTCTTCTGATTCCTACAAGTAGTCGTCCGAACTTCAAGCTTCACTGTCACGAATACATGTGTGTGATGTGATAAGGGAGCGGGGGTGAGAAGAGATGAATTTGAAACCTTCACACTTCTCCATCCACTCTCTCTCTCTCTCTATCTCTTCTCTCTCTATGTCTTATGGGGTGAAACAAAAAAGTATTTTTTTCAACTTATTCATTACACTCTCACTTTATCTCTGTTTCTCTCTCAACTGTCCCTCTCAACTTTTAATTTGTAATTTCATCTTTTGTTTCCATTTAGACGTGTTCATCTGATATCATTTGCTTCTGAATTCCTCTCTCCTTGACAATTAGCTTCTCAGACCCTCAACCATCAACTTTATACTTTTCGTTTGAGCATTTTCTCCTTCTTTTTCATATTTTTCGTTAAAATGTCCAAAATAAACGAACAACAAAAGTTATTTTATTAAATTAATATTGCTTCTTGTGAGAGCATTCAATACTCATCGAGCTTCCTTCTCTGCTCAACAACGTCTTCTTTCCTTCCTTCCTTCCATCTATGCAATCCTCTCTTCCTTCTCAACGTGTTGTTAGAGACATACGTTTCTTACAGTCGATCAAATAGTCTTTCAAATGCCATCAATAGGCTGTTCCTATGTTTCTGCTTCCTCACTCCTCACTCCTCACTCCTCCTCCTTCTTCTTCTCCTCTTCGTCGTTGTCTTCTTCAGAGTTTCAAGCTTCAAATATTCATTTAATAGCTTGAACTTACAATCATTTAACCATGTTTTTCAACAACTTTTTCAAACACATTTTCTGCTTCATATATCGTAAAGGAAAAGACATTTTTGGTCTTTTTTTTGATATTGAAATTGTTGATGATTTAACGTTGTTGAATGAGCTTATGTCTCTTGTTTCAATTGTGTCTCTCTCTTCATATTCTCTCACCACACTTTTCTTGTTTTTAATTGAAGAAGATGATGATGAAGACGAATTGTTTTTGTTTCCTTCTAAGGTGCGACATTTCAATTCGATTCACTTCATATACTTGCTATCATCAAGACTATGCGAGCACTTTCTTCACATCACACCCATACACAAGCACATTCGCAGTTCTTTGCGTTCACCACCATCATCATCATCAGCTTCTTCTTCTATCCGTTATCGTCCTTCTATAGCCTTCACAAACGTCTTCTTCTTCGTCTTCTTTTTTATTTTTTTTTTCAAAAATTAGATAAAATCATCCACTTTATTCCATTTTCAACATCCATCTCCTTCACTTTCTGCACACAACTTTCAGAAAAATATACGAAATTATACATTTATGGTATAATCTAACTATTGATTAAGCACAAACCAACCGTTTACTACGCTGCATTGAACTGAAAATGAAAAATGGCTATATCGCTATGTGTCTATGCGTGTGCTTTACGTGAACTTGACGTGATATCATACTCGTATATGCTAATGAATTGATGTCTCATCACAGGAATTGTGAATGATATATGCGCATAATTAATAAGAAAAAGAAATCTTAGTCGTTAATTCATTCTATACTAACCTATAATGAGGATTGTCAAGTATTTCGTTTTTTCTCTCTCTTTCTCTCTCTCTCTCTTGCCATATCCTACTCTCTTACGCTCCTTTCTTCTCTTCCAAGCTCTTTAGAATGTGTATGTGTGTATGTGTGTGTGCATGTGTGTACGTGTACGTGTGTGTGTGTGTGAGAGATTCAAAAATATTTTTAAGCGCAGAAGAAGAGAGAGAGAGAGGGAGAGAGAGAGTAGATGCTGAAGACGATTTTCCTTTTTCATCTTCTGTTTTTTATTTCAATCATAGATCTCAAATAATAAAATTAGTTTTGTCTCTTGATTATCTGACCGCTTGCGTCATGTTATTACAATTGAAGGATTAATGTGAATGTCTTGGATGTCTTAGGATATAAAACACAGACGACAATCTAAAGTTGATCCGAATTTTTCTGTTTTCTCCTCACATGATGATTTGAAGAACGTTAAGCTGCGGACAAGTGTGTCGTTTGACACCTTAAAAGCCATTTGAACGAATACATACTAGGTATATTCGTACAGAAAGCTTATTCAGGTGATTAGTTGGCACGCAAGCTAACCAGTCTATTGGCCATTTCTTAATAGATAATGCTTTCCATCTGTCTCGCTAGAGCAATATGTTAAAGGTTAAAAGTTTTCGCAATCATCCAGAGAGCTTAATCTGACGTTTTCATGCTAGCGTTCATCTCTGTCTCATCACTGTTCTGTCTATGTTGTTATCTCATTTTGATCTGAGAGCTTAAATACAAAATCCTTGAACCACTCTTCATCTATTGATATCGTCTCTTGTATGATCTACGTTTCTGTTCTCAGCTCAGCAATGTCTCTTCCACCACTACAACACCCTTACATTGCGTTTGACAGTTTCAGCTGCTTTCCACTCTCTCTCTCTCATGTTTTGAAACAAAAATAAAACTGAAAAAAAAAGTATTTTAGTTCAAAAACTTGCATATATGACTATTAGTAAGAGGAGGTGGAAGGGCAGCTCATGATATCTCGTCACAAACCTTTTTTTTTCTTTCTCTTCAGCTACGTCTGAAGCTTAATGTTGTGTTCTTTGCATCTGGCCGACAAGCAATTATGAGCTCCATTATACTTCCTGAGTAATGCGAACAACCTTCTTTTAGAATTTTCCTTTTTTTGCTATTTAAACATATACACATATATCTGAAAAGTTATTTATTATATGTAATAGTTAAGCAAGTGTACTATGCCCAATGTAGTTTCCGTGTGATCAGCCAATCAGTAATGCTTGTGAATTATCATTAAAATGACCATAATAGGCATTTTTCAAATAACATGTTAGACTTAGTAATGCGAAAGCTTTTCTCAATTATCAGTTTCATCGTTCTCTTTTCGTCTTCTTCAACTCTCTCTCTCTCTCTATCCTCTCTCTCTCTCTATCCTCTTTCTCTCTCTCTACTTCTTCAACTTGCTTCTTCATTTCATAACTTTTGCATAAACCGCTCAAGTACATTTACAAATTTTTATAAAACACTCGTACTTCATCTGCCCACCTCCAGCTTCACCTTGGTCGTCATCCTTATACCCGGATAGATCTCTCACAACTTGCTTCTGCAGCAGCAGCAGTGAATAACAGCTTATACTTTATTTTTATTCTTTTTAAGCAACATTTCTTCATTTCTACCAGTTCAAAGTCCTTTCATCATGCTTATTCCCGATGGCCAAAGATCTTTTGAAAGTTAAAACATCCTTTGCAATCATTCGAATTCTCAATAAAAAAATCTTCCAGAAGAACGCCAAAAAAGGAATGATATCACATTAACTTTTACTTCTCTCCCCCCCCCCCCCCCCCCCCCCCCCTCCTTTGTCTTTGTACTTATGGTTGTGCTTCCTCTGGCTTTTTCCCTTTTTTCTTTTTTCTCCCCCCCCCCCCCCCCCCCTCTTCTCTTGTGCTTTGCAGAGGGTCTCCTTCTCTTCCTGCTTCATACTCATTCTCTTACTCATCGTCTCATATCCTCAATTTAATGAAACTGGAACTTGTTATTGAGATGGAAAAAACTCATTTTTTTTCTTTTCTTATTCACTCTTCGTTTCATAGACCGAACGGTTTCTGAGAAACACTAGAGAAGCTCCGTCCTTTGTGAGTCAGTAAGCAACTTCTGACTCACAACTTACTGGTCTGTATCTCTTGAACTTCTGATCCGCTTATTCAGCTTTATCATATTCAATTGGTCAGCATCCCCCACATGTATTTGCGCAGTTCCACAGCAGCAATGTGCAAATCCATTAAAAGTTATATTTTTACATTCATTATCCTCTTTCTCTATTGGTATGAATGCTGATTAGCTGATTGTATAAAGTAGACGAAACGAGGTGAGTACAATGAGTGCGAAAACTGAAGAGTGCCGCCAGTGTGTGTCCTTAGCCTGAACTGTTCTCGTTTTGCATTTTCATCACAAGCTCTGTGTGTCCCATCATTTATAAGATGAAGAGAGAAATAAAAAATATAAAATTATTTATTCATTTCTTCTTAAATTCATAACGAACACTAAGAAGAACCTTTCCGATATTTGTTTTTCACATCTGAATTCTACATTGCTCAGACCTTTCATCTCCTAACTTCTAAATTTTCCTTAAACGTAAGTTTATTGGATGGTCTGTTCGCTTCTTCTCTTCTCCTCTCTATATCACAAGCTTGAACAATCCAAAAATCTGTTTTCATTCCTATCCTTCTCTTTGTCTTTCTCTCTCTCTCTCTCTCTTTCGCAAAAAGAGACAAAAACGATGAGTTTCATGTGCGGACATGTTCAAACGAAGAGTTCTTGTGAATGAAGATTGTACTCTAACGAATTCTTCGAGCCCTCAGAGATATTCCTAATCAGTTTAAGCTTATTCTGAGGTTTCTATTGTTGTGTCACATCAGCCTGTCTATTTTCATTTCCTCATGTCTTTCTGTAACTTATTTGAGACTGTAGATGTACTACTGAAATCCATGTTGATGAATCACTCACTCTCTCCACAACCAAGTAGTATAGGCTCGTACAGCTTGTCTCGAAACAGAGATTGGTATCCTCTCTCACTCTCTCTCTTTCTCTCTCATCTCAATGATCTTCCCAACAACTTTACTTTTTTTCTTTTCTATTCTCATAGTTCTGTTTAGCTATTTAATAATTTTAGATTATTTATAGGATAATCAGAAAAAAAGATGAGATTGAGATGAATATTCATACAGCATATTTTACTTTATACATCGTTGTGCCCATAGCTGGTATACTACTGAATGGATATGTGTTATGGAGATTAATACGAATAGCCAGGTATATCATTAGTTATTCATCTCTCCCCCCCCTTCTTTTCCTTCTCTGTAATCATCTAACATGCTTTTTCAGAAAAAATTCTGTTCGATTCGAAACTTCATCAGCCTTACCGTTGGCTTGTATGAGTGTGAGCGACACGATCACCTTATGGGCTCAATTAGTTCAAGCAGTTTTTCATTCAATTAATAAAAGTTTTATGAATAATACAATATTGGATATAATTTGTAAAGTTAGTTTTCATCATTTTTCTTGTTAGCGAGAGGAGTGCTTAGATGACATCAAGGAAAGAAGGTGAAGATGAGCACAACTTGATGATAGTGCTGAATGATTCAAACTCATTTCGTTCTCATTTGTCATTAAGCTGACAACACCTAGATCATAACAAACTTCGTCTTCATCATCATATTCCTCTTCTTTCCTGGAATTTGAATAATTTGAGTGAATAAAAAACATTTTTAATGATTCCAGATAGACATATATCTTATGCACACGACTTCAGCCTTCAGTGTTTGGTCATGGTTAGCTTTATCTGTTCTACGTTATACGGCTGTATTTCATCCGATAAAATACCGAACCATCTGGAGACAGCCTCGAAACGCTTTGAAGTCTTTTTGACATCTAAAAATAGATTTCTTTCAACTACATACTTTCAGAGCACTCGCTATATCATGCTGCGCTTTTGAAGTCTGGATTCTATACCTCGTCGTTTATTCTGATGATGGAAGGATATGTACAGAAGATTCCTCGTTCTCAGAACATCATAAGAAAGTAAGATTGCCGTGATTGGATACATTTAGCAACAAAAAGCTTTCCAGTTAGCCCATTTGATGGATATTATTATGTTTTACGCCATACCTTCTCTTCTCCGCATATTCTTCGATGGAATTGTCCTGTTTCATTGTTATAATCCATTTACGATGCTTGACACTTCCTTATATGAAAGACGTTATGCCATAAGTTTACCTAGCAATTTCCGAAGGTATTTCTAGTTTGCTCCCAATTATCTTATTCAACCAATCATTTCAAGAGCTTCACGTTCTTCAACAATGACCGATGTGGATACCGTGGAGCTACGAAACAACATGGCTCTGGTCATGTCCATATCATCTGTTACGAGCCAGGTTTTAATTAAACTGAGGAAATAAAATAATTTAATTCATCAGGGACGAACGAAGAAGCGACAAAAGTTTGTGAAAAAGAAAGCAGCGATGGTGATGAGGTCGATAGTGATATCAGTACTGAATCTCGTCTTAAACCTGCCTTCTCACATCATGAGAGCATGGCTGACAATAGACGAAGATTCTGGTTCAAATGATTTAATACCAATATTGGAACGTAAGTATTTCATTTCATCATTAATTCCCTTCTCCTCCCCCCCCTCCTTCTCCTTTCGGTCCCTTTTATTCTTCTTGTAAATCTTACCTCACTAATCAACATTGGTTTCCTCTCTCTCTGTTGCATTCACCGTACCTCTGTTGCTCTCCTGCAGAGTTTTCTCCTATTTTCGACTTGAGATGCAGCTTTTCTATTTAAAATAATTTGCCTCAGAATAAATGAAAGAATAAGAATAGGAAAACAATTCGGCTGAGTTCTACCTGTAAGACAAACCTCCCTCCCTAGGTTCTCCTTCATTCCTCCCATGACTCCTTCATCGCCCATTTTCTATTAAAAAGCGAAATTTTGAAAATTTCGTTTGTTAAGCAGAAAACGAAAAAGGTAAACACAAAAAAAAAGAGTTGTTTAGTGGGAAAAAAAGCTTGAGAATCAACAAATTTTCTCAAATTCTTTTGGTCAAAAATCATTTTGATGTGGAAAGTGAGGGAGTGAATAGGATGACGTGAGATTCGGCAATCGCACACCTCCATTTACCTACAGATGATCTGTATCATATGTTTTGATGTTGCAAACTCATTGAGCAAACTAATCTTTATACTTTCAGCAATATCTCAGATACTGTATTTCTCACAATTCGCTTGTAACGCCTTCTATCTATCAACTTCCATCTATGAAACTACTGGCACACCAAGGAATACGGTTATTGTTAATAATGGACGTCAAATCTCCAGATGTATGTCGAACGAAGAAGATGATTGTTAATGTTATTTCTGCCTGCCTTCCCATACATCCAAATACGATCATTTCGTGTTGGAAGTAAAAAAATTAATTTTACGGAATTCATTCAACTCAGGTCTTATCCCTCCACTTCTCTCTCTCTCTCTCCCTTTATGCTTCTCTCTCTCTCTCTCTTGATCTATCTTGCTGCTAACTCTTTTAAATTTTTCATTAGGTATTTCCTTTTCGGGAAAATTTAAATTTTATATGAAAAATGACGATAATACATATCGTTGGCTGTGTATGTGTGTGTAAGTGTGAATGAGTGTGTGTGTGTGTGTGTTTTACATGTTTTCTATTATCACATCTGTCTTTCATTCTTTTTTTTTTTATTTTAAAAATCATTTGTGACTGCTGCTTTCACGGGTTTATTCGAATTCTGTTTCCAGTTCTTCTCTTACTATCTCTCTCTCTCCCTCCATCTCTCTCTCTCTCTCTCTCTGCTCTTCGAAACCATTTTTGAACAATTGCCATTTGTCAACCATCTACTGTTGATCTCATTTATTCATTAATGGGTAAATTAACTTATGATCTGCAAAAAAATGAAGTTTTATTAATGTTGAAGATGAAATATATATTTATATGGAAAAAAAATGAAAAATAACAGAGAAGATGAGAATGCAACCGCTCACTATAACATCACACATCAAAATGATAATTTTGCATATGATTGGTTCTCGCTCACGTGAAGTTCACGTAAACTCAGATTATACTATTGCAAGTTGCATATTTACAATTTGCAACTTACATCTAAACGACTTGAGATGCGCATTTGTGCGTTGAGAAACCCTCTGTCGGTTGCCTTGGCTTCTAAAGAGCTGAACTGGTCGCCTTGCGGAAGCCGCTTGCCGCAGACAGAAGGGGGCGGCGCCAATTATTATGCAGCAGCCAGCTGAAGCCGCTCTCATTCTTTCTTCACATTCTTCCAAAAGAGGAATATAGCATGATATTTCCTCAGATGGTATAAAAAAATATATTTTTTTCATCATTCATCAATCTATTGTAATCTCTGACACAACATGATCTTACACATCCTACTTGTGATAAGCTGGCTCATAGAGATCAGTGATGCCGGACAAATGGTTATTCCACCCATCTATAGTCCATGCGATTTTCCATCTCCGGTATATACACCTGCTCCCATAGTAAGTTTCAAACACATTTTTCTTCTTTTTTTTTGTTTCGTTTTTTCCTTCTTCCGAATTTGCTTTCATCCCAAACATAAGCTTCTTATTGTTCATTTGTGTTGTGTTTTTGAAGTATTTTGTGTGTTTCGAATGTTTCCCTCTTAAGAATGCTTCCGTCTCCTAAAATCATAATTACATTAGTGTGTGTGTAAGGTAATTGAAACTCGCCCATTTCTTGGCACACAAAGTTTCTAATGGCTATCGAACTGGCGAACCTGAATGCCCAAGGGAAATGGTTTATGCTAAAGCAGCATGTTTAAGAGTGAAAAAGCTTCAGCTCAATAGAGAAAGGGGTTAAAATCAGACTAAAAATTTATTTGATCTCTCTCTCTCTCTCTGTGTATCTCACACTCTTCTACTCATTCATTCTATTCCACTTCTCCTTTCATTCTCTCTCTGTCCCTCTTTATACGGATTTTCATGTACAATTTCAATGTTAAATTGAAATTTTACGGGGCGTATTCTCTTCTTATCCCCTTTAGATGTTCATGCAATAGAGGATGAAGCATCTCTCCCATGTTGTCTAATTCGATTGGTTTTTTTCAATACTGTTTCCTTACTTCATAATTCTTTCTGTTTAGCTTTCATTTTTCTATTTTGAACATCTTCCACTTAGTTTCCTAAACGGAAATTCGGATTTGTGATGGATCTTCTTCTCCTTTTTCTTTTTTTGCAGTTACTGAACATTCCTTTCTCTCTCTGTGTGTTCATTTCTCATATCCTCTACTCTCTCTTCACGTTTTCATTACGCACCTCATTCTCTAGCAGAGCTACTTCTTAACTTCTTATCTTCATTTTCATTCTCTCACATACTCTCTCTCTCTCTCTGTTTGATCCTATAGTTCCATGTGTGAAGGAGACGAGCCATAGACAGAGAATAATTGAAAATTAATAGTGAAACCTTTTGATAGCAATTAAGATAAATCAGATGACAGCTTGTTTGACACCTTCTTCTTCCGCTTTGCGACTATATCATCTCGTTTGGCTCTATTAAATTTCTGACAACAGCCTTGAGTAAAACCCAAATTTCTTTTTTTGAGCTAAATTTTGTTTGGCGCCGCTACGATTTGAGAGAAAAGGCACGATAGATTGAGAGAATGGCAGAGATAGAGAGAGAAGTAGAGAGGGAGGATTGGCCGACTCGTTTTCGTCTTTTTGCAACAATAATCTGAAGAAAAAAAAACCGAAAATTGGTTCTTTACATCTTCTTCCTAACTCATTTCATTTGTGCTGTTCCCCTTTATGATAAACAGATGAAAGAGACGATTGAAAAGTGGAGGAAAAGCTTAAAAACAAGTTTATCGCCTTGATTTCTTCAAAAGTTAGAAGCTCTGTTGTCAATAGCTGTTACAAGTTGTGATTTGTTATGAAGAGGTGCAGGTGGTGGTAGTGGTGGTGGTGGTAGTTGGCAACCCCCCCCCCCCCCCCCCCCCCCCCCCCCCCCCCCCCCCCCCCCCCCCCCCCCCCCCCCCCCCCCCCCCCCCCCCCCCCCCCCCCCGTTCATTCTTGAAAAAGGAAGTATGTAAAGAGAAAAAGACGAAAATGAGAACGAGAGGAAGAGATAGAGTGCAACGAGACGAGGATGACGATGTCGTCGTCGTCGATAGAGCAAGACGAACGACTCGAACACCTTAAAATAAAAAATAATTTTATTTTCTCTGTTTCACTTTAGTCTTTCATTCGTTTTCTTATGTCTATTGTTCTTATTCATGCATAGAGCTTCAACTATCGACCTTCTATACATTTTGTTTCCATTTTTGATTGGCTCTATTTGGCATGAACGTTTACTCGTTACTGACCAACACATCCATTAACTAATAGACTTCACTTCAACATGAGCAAGAGAAGAAGAAAAAAAAAGGAAAAAAGGAAAGTTGCTGATGAAGAAGCCGTAATTGGTTGGTACGATGCGGCTTGAAACATTAACAGCTTTTTTAGCTGACAACATGATCATTTTTGAATAATTTCAAATTCTGTCTTGTCAGATGGCGTTTTTGGCAATTAGCAAGTTATAAATAATGTCAATGACTACTTAACTTCATTGAATTTCTCTTCTGTTTCTAATCCTATGACTTTGGGGTTCCATATTTGGTCAAGTTCCCCTTCGATTCCATTCTTTCCCTCTCTCTCTCTCTAGATATGTATGTGCTTCAGACTCTCTCTCTTTGCTCTCTTACTTCTATCTAACCCTCTTAATCGTTGACTATGAAATACGAGATGGCACTATGACTTCAATGAAAACACAAAACTACTCTTCGGTTACAATTCCTTTCCCAGTTTTCACTCCACAAAGGCACAGTTACAACATTTCGGATGAATTGCAAAGCTTCTCCATCAAATCTTTTTTTCTATTCCATTCTTCGCACTGCCGAGATTTCTTATGCATTCACTAGCCAGTAAATTTTATGGGAGAAATCGTATTCTTAGCAATGTTTATATCGGAACTCTCTCCCTCTCTCTTTCTCTCTCTGCTACTCCTCTCGCCATTCTATTCTCTCTGACTTCTCTGCATGCGCTGAACTCTACTTCATGTATACTCTCTCAACAATTCTCATTTCCATTTCCGGGATTTACCTGGGGTAAAACTAAGAAAACGCATTTTCCTCATTGTTTCCCCGACTCTCAATTGCCATATTTGGTTTTGATATGAAGTTTTTGCTTAGTAACGATCTCTTTTCAATACATAACGAATTGAATTCTCTTTCCAAACGTTCAGCTTCATGAAAAACATATTCAAAGAATACTTTGAAGAAGGAATACTTTCCGAAAATATTCTCCTCTTCTGAAGATGCTTGAAAGTCTCCAACACTTTGTAGTCTCGTGCTTGACTGCATGGTTTTTATGTCTTCTCTTAGGGGCTTTTTCAAAATTAGAATTCCAATTTTAGCCGCTGAACAATGTGATCTGGCTTAAAGAGATAAATAAAATTATTAAATAATTGAAAAAGCTGAGAAAGCATCTAAGCTATGTGATAGCTTCCGCATTCCTCTTCCTCTGCTTCTACTTCTTGAGCTTCATCCTCTTCTTTCTGATATTTGGAATTCTAGTTTGTTTAAACTATCACGTTGAAGTAGTCAAAGATGAAACGCGGGGCTTCTACATAAAAAAAAACAATTTGAAGATGGAACTGAAAAGAGAAAAGACGATGATCGTATTGAAAGATGGATGGGATGTTTTAGATTTTAGCCACCCACTTGGCCACATTCGTTTTCGTTTTCACATTGAAATTCAATTCAGAGCATCTCTCTCTCTGTGCTTGGCCATCCTGGCATGTCATTGCTTACACAAAAATGAAATAAATTATGAATTATTGAAGGAATTACTCATTTTCTCATCATCGTAATGAAAAGTCAAACGAGCCACATTGTTCTGCCTTGACGAGAAAAACTGCAAACTGAAAAGAAAAATGTCTGCGTTAGGATGATAGGACAATAGCTTCCAAAAATGGTTAAATAAGATAGAAAACATCAATACAAGCTAGAAAACTGCTCAGCAACATTCGTTAAGTCTTTTCAGTCTCTTTCATTTTGTAGATGAAAATGAATACTATCAGAAGTTTCTGCATTTGCTTGTAAGACAACCACCACCACCAACCACCCTCCAGTTGTTGGTATTCCTTTTCATTCACTTCTCAGACACAGAGACAAAAAATAATTTAAAATATCGAAACGTAGACAGCGGAGGAGCGAAAGTATTCTTGTTTTTGTCCCAACTTGAATAACTTAAATTTTAAATAACTATTGAAATAATATTCTGGTGAGAGATGAACCTGCAAAAAATAAAAGTAAAAAAAGAAAGAAGAAGCTGAAGAAGTGCGATGAAGAGAGAGAAAGAGAGAGAGAGAGAAGAGGGAATGAATGAACGCAGATCTTAAAGGGGGGATATTTCTGTGCATTGAATGCTTCGTTCTGCTAATGTCATTCATCGTCATGACTGCCGGACACTTCTTTGGTCAGTTGCGTCTGAATCAGATGTAGATTAATGTGCTGAACAAAGCCGGATGTTCAAGCAAAATGACAAAAAGTGCGTAAAAAGTTGAAAAAGCAAGCATGAACTAGCATCGTCTGTTGAAAGGAAGAGAAAACAAAGGTAGCTGAATTGTCAATTTGGCGATTTTCTTTTTTCTCTCCTTCATCCTTCCGTCTTCTTTGTCCTTCTGTTTTGTTTTACTTTGGTTGAGCTGCTGAAAAAAGAAAATTAACAGAATGTTTCGTTCCATGTTGATTGTTGTTACCTTCAGATGGCACATGAAGGGCCAAACAGAGAGAGAGAGAAAGATAAACGAATGAAGAAGAGATTCTATAGTTTGTTTTTGCTGCTTAAGGTTGAGCTTTTGCATTCATTAACCAAGGATTATCCACATGCGCCAATCTAAAACAATCGAAAATCATTCAAAGTATAATGATGAGAATCTCTGTGCGACCGCTCAACTTCTATTTTCAAAACAAAATGAAAATGAGAGAAAACACAATTTCCGCGTGGCGTTCGTTTCACGCTTTTAACGTGAAGCTTCGGGGGTCTGCTTATGCTAATTTCTGATGTTTCGAATGAAGCTGCCACACACATACATGTGTACAAAACGTCTTGAAGACTATTATAATTTGTAATGAACAAGAAGCTTTTCTCTTCAATAATTGAGTTTTGAATTGAAGAAAATTTGTTTGGCGATAAGCAAGTGCTATGACAGAGTTGAAAGAGCTTCCAATGTCTTTTGCTTCACTCTTCGATCCTGTTATGTTTTCTTTTGGTTTTTTTCTGTGTTACAGAAAAACATTTTGCGAATTGAATGTACAATTACTCTACTGCCAAAGCAATGCATTTTTGAGAAATTAACTCGAAAAATGTTAAGAATTTTTCTTTTTCCTCTTTCGCAAGTGATCTCCTACTGAAGCTGTCCGGAAAAGTCATGCAAATTCGCAATGAATCACTCAACTAAGCCTCCTGTATGGCAAAACGACATAGTCTCGTTCTCAAAAGTTCAAATATTCCTTCGGCAAAGCTCTTCAGGAGAATGTGAAAGCCTATGATAGAAGATAGACGGAATCAGAAACAAAATCTCCGGGGAGTTTTGATCGTAAGCTTTTCATGTCCAAGCAATGAAGAGTCGTCTTTCATTTTTTGATAGAGAAAGGACGCACAAAAGATTTTTGAAACTTACTCGCCTTTTTCTCTTTGTGGGCTTTAACTCAATTGGGATAGAAAGATGGATTAGCGGATGAAAACATGGATATCTTGGCAATTCAATACTCCCACTTCACCTCCATATTTCATTGTTTTCTACTTTGAATGAACTTTCCGTGCTCCATGCTCTCATAAAAACGCCATTTAAGCCCAAGTGTCTCATATATATACACACACATATATTTATATATATAGATATGGGTGTTTCTCGAAAATAAAATAAAAAAACAGAAGAAAGTTACATCTTGGGGAGACAACGGCTTCGGCTGCCAATTTACCATAGTTGTACTAAGCAAACAGACTATCAACTAAGCTGAAAATATGATGAAAAACGTATAAAGTTTGGTTTTGAGGGGGAGGAAGAGAGAGAGAGTGAGAGACTTGCTTTATCCTTTTTTCTTCCTTCTCTTACTAAGGAAATACTAAACCAACAATTTTCTTAAACGTTCTCGTTTCAGTTTAAGCAAGAATGCCTGGCTCTTCCACACATCCCGTTCCTGTGCGATTTACACCATCAACTTGTACACTCAAGTACTGTTGGAATAGAGAATACTTATGAGAAGTTGGTCGGATATCTATTTTTGGAAATGACAGATGACACTTTCAGATATCGTCCTTTCCTCACACATCATGGAAATTCTACGTTGGCCATAATATTAGGTGAGTGATGACTCAGCGAACATACTCATCCTCATCCTCCTCAACCATTTAAGTTAAACAATTGGAAGCTCCAACTTCGACTGATAACGTTTACAACGACTTAAAATACAAATGTTTATTTGAGAATGAATGTAATCTCATAGATAATGAAATTGTTCGAGGATTCGTCACTAGCGTCAAAGTATTTATGAAGGTGAGAAAATACAAATTGTTTCCTTCCATCTTACATCCAAACGAATAGCTCCTAATGACATGTTGTCAGGCATCAGATTGACAACACACTTTTCCTTTTTTATGTTGTAGTCTATGCATATATGAGAACCTTCTATAGTTCTCTTGATAGCTTCGTCATCAGCTGATTGAGCTCTAGCCGAAGTAACAGAGAGTATGGATGGGAAAGGGTCAAAAATTCTTTTTCTCTTCAAACTTATCTTCTAAAGAAACTTGTTATAGGTATATGCTTGGAAATTATATGAACGATGGTTCGGGTTGGATGAGAAGTGCACCCAGCCAAATGTCTTAGTGTTGATAGTCATGGATGGTCTGGTCAACGATGCTCGCAAAATTCCATACGTACGAATTCACTCAGGTTGGATACTACCATGGAAAAAAACTTTTGACTCATGCTTTCCTATTCTAGGTGAAAATCGTATGAAGTTTGTACTAAGCAATATCCAAAGTGAAGCAACGAATGCTCTCGTACAAGGTTGGCCATTGCAAACTATGATCGAGAACCTTGTGGACGATGTCGGCTATGCAGTCAAAGAAATACATGAGCTCAATGGAGAAATAAGAGATCACTCCGTACCCAGGTTTCTAAGAGCTCTATGATGTACCATTAATCTACATCATTTCCAGATGGGCCAGACATGTCTTTCTGCTGTGTTTCATTCTGGTTGTCCTAGCTTTAGTCATTGAATGGTATATAGTACGTCGAAAGCTTGGAGTGCAGAAGAGTGGATCAGGCATCAAAATCACTTCCGTCAAAAGTAAAACACATCTCATGTTCTAATCTGGAGAGGTTAGTAACGACGACTCAACGGGTACATATCAGAAAACCACAAGAAGGCCTCTGAATCAGATGAAACACTATCTGTGATTATATATATGTTTTCACGGGAATCAAGTTAACTATATGACTCTTCCCAGATACTTCCGCTACAAATCGATAATTTATAAATAAAATTTCATATATTTATAAATATATATATATATATATATGACTTTTTTCTTGAAAAAAACAAAAAGGCACTATAATCACAAAATGAAGGCATGATTTGAGGCTTTGAAAGTCAACTCAAAGCTGACATAAAGGGTGTAACCGATTGAACAGTCTTGCTAAGACTTTCGTTTGTTAATAAGCTCGAGCAAATATATACAAAAATTTGAAATTATTAAGCTATTCTCTCGGATGAGGCTGAGTTCTTCGAACGATTTCCTTATTCAGCATAGTTCTCATACGTTCATACCTGAATGAGAACATGAGGTTGGCTTGTTGTACAAGTTGAGAACTCACTTTCGAACAGTTTCAATTACTTCTTGTTTATACAGCTTTAACATCATATATTCAAACTCTTCTAATTGCATGGTATGGAATAGCTCCCACTGGAAGAATGCTATGAACGGAAGAACAAAAACAAAATGACAAACCTCAAGCAGATGGTCCAGTTCAGAGTCAGCTTGCGAGTAAAGCAAAAGCCAGCTAGGAACTTCTGAAAAAAAAATACATTGAATATAGAACTCATTATGCCATTTCACCTTCAGAATCTATAATATTGAGATTGGCCACTGCGCTCTCTGCACGATGGCTCGCTACTAGCATGGATTCTGTCCTGTTAATGGGAGGTGCTATACCAGGATGTTCGACTTGAGATCTCATTTCAGCTTCACTTTAACAAAACAATAAATAAATATAGCTTGGGAAAATCTTACTTAAAGTAAATCACACCATCTTTTTCATGGAATATTTTTGTCCATCTAGGGGGCAAACTTTCTTTTGCAAGGGGATGAATCCAATGAGTTCGACAGTTGTTATGATCCACATAGTATCTTAAATAGAGAAAATGATCATAGACGTTGGTTGTCTAGTCCAAACCGATATCCTTTTTGTGTTACTTCGATTGTCCAATTGTGGGGTAGAGGCAGATCGTCTTGTTGTGGAGTACCAGAAACTAAACATTCGTCACCTAGAAACAGAAAGAAGTAATGACAACATCCAGAACTTCTCACCTATAATTGAATTTCCTATATTCTTACTCGGTAGGTTCTGTAGAGAAACAAATCGTTGTTGTTGAGTTGCATACGAACTGCTACTGCAAAACAGAAAAATGCTACATACGTGTAAAAAAAAACAAATTCACCTAGGTTCATAGTTGTCTAAATATGATTCAACATTTCCAATACTATGAGAAGTAGTTAAAGGCTTTCGATGAGCATGTTCTCTACGAGGATCACTTGAAAAGAGAAGATGAGTCAAAAACTATATTTAACTTGAAAGTTTACCTAAAACTATGAGATGACAAGGCACCGGGTTGCGGACTCCGATTACCGCTAGTGTAATCTTGTTGATTATTCTTTAAAAATACGAGGTTAAGTTTAAAAACAAATTAAACAACTCACATATAACTGATTTGATGACCCCAAGTTGTTGTTTACGGAGTAAGCTGGAGGATCATTCGGTGATGAATAATTCTACAAATGACAGCAATGAGTAAACGGTATGGACGGAGGAGGAAGTAGGAATGTTAAACACTCACTTGAAACCGGGAAACACCTGGATCGTTCCCATTATCCATTTCATTAGAATGTACATGATGTGAGTGAGCATTGATAGTAGACTTAGAAGTGTCTTTCGGAGCGCTACTTTGTGGTGACTGTTTGACAACATTATGTGCTGAAAAGGGAAAGGTTGAAACTAAACTTCAATAAAATCACTTACAAGACACAGAGGGTACTTTTGGTGGACTGGCTCTACGTACATACCTTCCTTGAGTACCCTCAACATATGTCGGAAGCTTTTTACGTAAGAACATTAATTAGACGTATGATGCATTATTTACATGAAATCTGAAACGAGAAATGTTTAAAAACAAGTATCGAAGCTCATATAGCTTGAGATGTAACGAAAAAAGGTGAATTAAACTATTTGTAATAGTATTAGTAACGTCTCTTTTACATATGTCTTCTTAAGCTTGCGTCTTTTTAAAGGTCTGACACGAGCGTTGCGGGATATTTAAGTGTGTTGTTATAATAAGGTGTCGGTGTTGTCTTCGGATATTCAACAGCCTTGTGACATGTGTACGGAGATAGAAGAGTACGTATGCCGAAATCATCAAACTTATAAAAAAGTATAACACGGAAATTACTGGTTGACAATATTTAAACTACATAAGTCAATAAAGTACTTTTGAGATGACCACAAACGATTTGATGAACAGGTTGAGAGGTATGAATGAGGCAAATCAAAATAGTTTTGAAATTTATGAGTTTATGTTTACACAAGGCGTGAGAAGGTTCATGTAGATATCAACGAAATGCCAGTTTTAATTTACCTTTTTATGGACTGGAAGGAATTCAACTGATAAAGAATCAGCAGATGCAGTGAGTTCGAGAGCTTTTTTGTAATATTTTGATGGAATTTTGAGAATTTTTCCCTCGCATCTGTTTATTTCTATTTTAAAACTGATTTGTTGGTGAAAAATGTTTAAAAAAAGATTTTGGCAGGGTGTTGGCATAATGGGTGGAAGGTTAGAATGAAGGTACATTCACAAGAGGTTATACGAACATTCAAATGTGATTCAAATGATATCAACGGAGACTCAGACGACACAAGAAGATGTTTCATCCGACTGAGATAAAAATCTGTAGATTTAGGTGTGTTGTGAAGGTTATTTGGTAAGGATATTGATTCGATACTGTTTAAGACGGCAAAACATTTGTTTGAAATTCTTGAGATCAATTCGCAAATTATTCATTCAGTTTTGAAGAAAACCAGATTGTACAAAAAATAAAGTTGAAATTGATATGAAATGCATGTGGCTAGGTAAGTAATGTTGGTATTGGAGTTAAAAAAAGAATGTTGTCATGTGTTTTCTTGCGACTCAAGTTAAAAAACAAGAAAATTCAAACATGCGAGAGAAACTGCTTTAAGTGAAGAAAAGTTTAGAATTTCGAAAGCGAACATTGGAATGTGTGTGTATGTGTCTGTGGCTCGTTAGGCAAATATTTTCATTTGAAAGTATTAAACCGCCACCAAATACGATAGACTTGACAATAGTACTCGGTAAAGGGTAGTTTACCTGTAAAATTTTTTTTTTCTTAACGGAATCAAAAAAAAAAAAATTACAAATTTCAAGTTCACGTGGAATACACGTGAAATGCACGTGTCCGTCAAATCTCACTCATTCGTCATTTTTATTTTTAGGTGCGCGCAAAGCGGTTGAGTATGTTCAGGAATTTCCGAGAAGTTTTGCAACCCGACGCTCAATGTGTCTCGTAATTTCACTTTTGGAGTTCAAATTTGATTTTTTGTTTGTTTCGACGCTTAAGTGCAGCTTCTGAAACATCATTTCTCGTGGACAGTTTGGTCTAAACATTTCCATTTTAAGCCGAACGAGGTGTCCTCAGTCTGGGCGAGTGAAGCTGTGATGTGAACCAGATGGATCAAGGAAATACGTCCTCATCCTCCTCCTTTTGCATATTTTTTTTTCCATGAAAATTATTTTGAAAAGAATGAAAAAGGAAATAATTTGAGGGAAAAGTTCACAAAATTTCTTTTATAATAAGTTGATTGATGCTTTTTGAATAATTCAAAACATTTCCAGAGCTCAACGGAGTAGAAAATTTTTTTTTTTCGAAGAGAGTTTACATATTTGGTCTGAATGTGAGCAGACTAATAAAGTGTCATTGAAGAATTCATATATTTCATCGTGCTCATGCAACCCTTTATCTTTCAGTTCTTGTTCTATTAAGATGTTCTTCTCTTCTTCTTCATTCTCAAATCAATATTAGATGTTTTAAACTCTTTTTGCCTTATTGGAATGGAGGAGCAAATTTTGAAAACTCGGTGAATAAAGGAAAGAGAGAAGCGACGGAAAAATAAGTGAAAAGAGAACAATGTAAGAGTTTAGGGTGTACGAGGAGGATTGAGAGCTAGATGTTGAGGCGGGGAATTTTACCTTGTTTGGTCAAAGGGTCAGTCTCAACACAAATAGTCTTCAATCCAGCCTATCCTTCATACCAGATGCTCTTATTCTTTACTTCAATATTTTCATGAAACTCCATTTATCAGCATTTTCTTTGTTCCATCACTGATCATCCTTCTAACTGTCAATGTGAGAGATAAGCATGTGTGTGTGTGCTAGTGAGTGTGTCTGATTCCATTAACCCAACCTTTCACATGTTTCACAGTTGTCGTTCGAAACAAATCTGTCAGAATGCAAAAGGATTTATCACTTCACTACTACTCAACTTTACTGTCCTGTGTGCTAAAAGAAGTTGTTTGTTTTCAGCTTTTCGTGTGATCAACACCTACTTCACTAAGAAAAAAGCAGCAAAAGAACTGGTGCTGGAATGGCGAGAACAGAGCCAGACAGTAACCAAGTTCTTTTCAAATACCAGCTGAGAACAAATTAAACTTTTTATTACACAAGTATTCAAGTAAAATCATCTGCTTTTACATTTGAAGTGAAACTGAGATTGATGAAACAGATTACATGAATCCGGATTACTTAAGCAGATCGTAACCACAAAGTCTTGGAACGGTCGCAACTTCTCACTTCTCATTAGAACAGAACAAACATATTTCGTTCATCTGCTTCACCTTCTGAAGAATATTTCACTTTTTTAATTTTTTCTCTTCAATTTGGGAGAGATGATGGACCTCATACCGACAAGTGCAGAAAGTCGTGACCGCGTCAAAGCTTAAAACACATCAAAATTTCATCAAAAGCTCAACTTTCTTTTATTCAACTTTAGAGCCATTCATTTTCATTTTTTGGTTGAACAACATCTTGTTCTTCTTGTTCTCCTTCAACTTCGAGCTCCTCCTCTTCTACATCTTCATCTTCTTCTTTCTGTCTGGGCGTGTTCGTCTAAGCTTTAATCCATTTCAGATCTATGTATTCACCACTTGTTTCTGCACGGACAGCGGCCATTGTCTATCTCAACGATCATCTTCTCAATATTTATTTGTTATTTTTTTTCTATTTTTTTTATCCAACACAAAGGTTATTAATAAGTTTGACAAGTTGATAGACTTCCAGTGCTTCGTCAGTAGCAAATGCCTTTCCCTCCCATCTGCACAAAGCACGAAAAAAACCTTTTTTTGTCCACCTTTGATCGTTCGACTGAAGAACTCTTCAACATCCTCCACACATTCAGAAAGTTCAAAACCTCGAAACTCGCAGCACTTGGGGCCCACGCGTGTCCTGAATATGGGGATATTCTATGATGTGCTCCGATTGATCGATTCATCAGTTTACATTTTAAAAACTTTCTGTCTAAATATAGTTTATAAGATAGAATTTACATCATCATCATCTTGGCTACGAAAATGACTTCGAAGCACTTTTCGTTTATTTCATGTTTTGCTATGGATATTTTAATGGGAAAAAAAAGAATTTTTATTTTCAATTCCATTAAGCAAGGCGAAGATTAATATCTTTATGATATCCTCCTTGTCATTGTAATGTTTGCTGTTTGACTACGTATGTATCTCCTGTCTGAACCTTTGCCAGTTGAAAAAGGTGAAACATTCTTTCAACATTAGCTCTCTTTGTTGATATCTAAATGTCTTCTCCTCCACCCCTTCACATCCATCAAATCCATGCCTCTTCCATGATCATCGCAGCAATTTATAAAAAGAAAAAAGATTTTTTTAGAACAAAACACAACTGTTTTGTGTTGAGGTATGATGGATGGAGGATGTTTCAAAACCATTCAATTAACTTTTCTTTTTGTTTTTCAGTTTAAATATAAAAAGAAAACATTTCATTGCCTCCTTGCACCATGCGTTTCTCTCTCTCTATCTCTCTCGCCCTCTTTCTCTCTCTTCAAACCATATTTTTATTTTGTTTTCATGTTATCCCTCCGGTTTTTTTATAGCTTGACACCTTTCTTCAGCCAAGATTTTAGAAATCCGGTCTGAATGACAATTTTGCTTCATGGACTGTCATGTTTTTGTAAACATTTCAAAACTTGAAATGTTCAGCCTTTTTGACCTCTCTGTTGCTTTCCGAACTAATTCATTTTCTATTCATTTCAGATAGAAAATGCTTACGTTGTTTCTTCTTTTATTTCGATATGCCTCAGCTGAGAAAGCACATTATGGAATGACTCCGAAGGGAAACAATCCCACATTATACTCACCTGAAGACTATGTTATTCAATTAGACATGTCCACTTTCAACGATACTGTCTTCTGTCAAGGAGACGATTGTACTGCTCACCTTGTTGAGGTTTTCAAGTGAAAGCTGGATCTCGGCTCTCTACTTACTCGTTCCAGTTTTACTCCGATTGGTGTGGGCATTGTCGTTCCTTCGCGCCCATTTACAAGGCTCTGGCTAACGATGTACGGGGATGGCAAAACGTTGTCCGAATCGCAGCCATGAATTGTGCTGATCCTCTCAATGAAGCTGTCTGTAGAGATAATGACGTTCAATATTTCCCTTACATTAAGGTTATTCTCAATGATATGTTGTTTGTGCTTCTTTCATCGAAAATCATATCTGACAGAAGATCAACCGCTACGTGGTTCAGCAGAAATCGTTTCTTTTACTTTTCTCTTGTTTCTTTTCTGCGCAGCCATGTACAACCGATCGCTGCGTTATGAAAAACAAAAATGATCCGCGCGAAATTTGAAAAAGGATGCAAGCATCTGGATTTGATGTTTTGTTTTTCAGTATTATCCAAGAAATGTAACGGAACCTTTATCAGGTCCTGCCTTGAAGACTCATCAGTCAATCGCAGAAATGCGAGACGATCTGACAAAGGTATGATCAGGTCTTCAAATAATTCTAAGAAGGATAAGTTTAGTTTGTCATGTACGACTATGCCTTGAATCATTTCGAAGATTGGCCCACGTTTGACTTCTTGGGAGAGTGAGTTTGACTTTTGATTCCATAAAACATTCCAAAAAAAAGAACATAATGTGAATGGGTACTATCAATTTCAGTGTAAAGCTATGGGATGAGAATGAGTAGGTTAAACTGTATATGATAACACGATATAATGAGCTTTACGATGTATAGACAGCATTATTCTAGAAAAGACACGCTTGATAGGCATTAACACAGCTTCGAGTTCAATTTACACTTTCTGATGATCCTAAACTGTTTTTGATGATGAAATGATTTAGTATCTTAACTTATGGTGATCTCTGGCAGGGACGAACAGACTCTGCTCAATTCATGGCCATTGTCTTTGAGAATCATCAGTCCAGTTTAACAGGAGCTCAAGTCTGTTGATTGCATTGTTCGTTGAAACTAATCTCTCATACCTTCAGCTTCTCTTGGACTTGAATAAACATAAAGACAGACTTGCTGCAAGACGATGTTTGAGATACCATGCTTTGGCAGAAGCGCTGAGAATAACAGATTTCCCCTCTCTGGCAATTTTTAAGAAAGGAGAACGTAAACCTGTTCTAGTCGTCGAGTTAGTCCTGAACTTAGAAGAACAGACTGATATCTTCAATTACAGGCTTAGGCGTCTACTTTTAACTGAAATAGAAAACTTCCTGTCTGTATCTGATAACGATCTGCAAAACATCCAATTCAGCAGCCGTAAGAACCGAACAGATCCTTGTGAAGCTGATCCAGACAAGTTTGAATACATAGTAGCACAATAATTTATAAGAATATTTTGAGGTGTCAGAAACTGTTCTATGTCTCTGAGACAGACATTTTGAAAGCGATGAGATATGCGATGTATCGAGAAACGGCGAGAACTGGAGCTCCCTTAGCAGGAAATAACCTGACAGCCTTGCATTCCTTTATGAACTTATTAGTTGACAATTTGCCAGTAACTTCTTTTAGTACTAATCAGGTACATATATTATACGAGGAATGTTTGTTAAACAGTGATTATAGACTCATTTGGATAGAACTAACAGAGCAGTTCGCGTATTCGCGCGATTGCGAGATTTTCTTGAGTCCAAAGGACTTGAAAGTGAAATTCCTATTGAAGACTATCAAAGAGAGTTCATAGCAGCTGAGGTATGTTTTGATACACGTAGAATGAAGCATTATATTTTAACTTTTTAGGAAGCTGCTGGACATCCCTTCCCAATTTCCTCTGACTGGGATCACTGTCGAGGATCAACTCCTCAGTTCCGTGGATACACATGCGGACTGTGGACAACATTCCACACTCTGACCGTGACAGCTTATAATAAAGCTAAAGAATCTCAAGGTACTTTTGAATTGGAGGGGTAATTGTATAATAAACTCTCCTAGTCGTTGATTTCCAACCGCTGCCAATATTGCAATCTATCCGAGATTGGGTAGGTAACTTCTTTGGATGTAATCATTGTAGAGATCATTTCTTAAAAATGACCACAAGCACATTCCCAATGGAAACTCAAGTAAGTTACAATCTTACATTTATGATCATAAAAGCTCCTTAAAGGTTAAAACGCCCGAAGATGTGTTCATGTATCTTTGGAGAGCTCATAATATAGTCAACACTCGTCTTCGTGGACGCGAGTCAGAAGACCCTATGTATCCCAAATACCAATTCCCTGCACCATTCTTATGTTCCAATTGCTCAACGGAAGCGAACTCAGATGATTCCCTAGTGAAAGAGTTTTTACTTGATTACTATTCAAGCATCAAACCTGTGTCGTCTTCTCTCTCTTCAGCTCTCCGTTTGAGCGTTTAACTTCTTCTTCTCATACAGATCTACAGCCAATATAGTTTTCTATCATTTGAGTACATTCTTTAGCAAGAGCGATAATATCTCTTCATATACTTTAGAGCACTTGCTTCGAGCAAAAAAAAAGTCCCAGGGTCACAGATGTAAATTTGCCAGAACGAAAAGGCCCCTCAATCTAGGTGACCTTCTGTCCAGCATCTCCGCCCAGATTATAAATGGCTTGGTTCTCAAGCGGCGTCCCTTCCTCATATTCCCTCTCACGCTTCCCCAGATAGTCATGATATCTGGATAGCTCATTTCTCTCAACATATTTCTCTTTCATAAACTCAAGAGCTAAATGAGATAAAAAAATATCTTTTCATCCTATCCTTTTTATTATTTAAGCTTTTTCTTGCCGATAATTTATTTTTTCAATGTTTCAATACAACATCCCTCAGATTCGATTGTTCCTTTCAAAATCGACCTTTTCTGTGAAGACAGTATTCTCAAGAAATAAATATGTCGTTTTCAATATTGAACGCTTAATGCTGTTATCTAAACTACACACTCTGTAGTTTACAGCAAGTTCCAGCAAGTAGGAACAGTTCCCTTGATGTCGCTTCTCGAGCTTTTTGTTTTGAATGCTACAGTAATCCAAACACGAGTTGACGCAATCCAAATATGCGTGGTAAGAGATCCTGAGCCGAATGTTAGACATCCAATATGGTTTGATCAAATTCAAATGTTCAATTTCTCTTAAGGTTGTTACGGGAACTTACCAGCCTGTTACCATGCATTATGCGATCTGAAGAGATAATGGGTGGTTGAGATTCCAGACAGCCGAAGGTGAATCTTTGTGAGCTACTATTTTCTATCTACTATGATTTTTTATTATTACGATTTCATAATGAACTAGTGTTGTTTGCGTATACTGTATTACTATCCTTACAACCCTGTTGACCAGCATTCAACCAAACATCCATTTTTATTGGAGAACTCCTGCATCTCATCTCACTGTCGCTTTTCCCAGATACCTTTTGATTTGGTGTTTCTGAACTTCTAAGACATGTGATCATGAGATCAATAACCTTTCGGTTCATTATCGTTTACTTTGTTTATCAATATTATGATCTTGACTGTTTGCGAAATAACAACGTCCTCGATTCCCATATTCTTCGGCTTATCTACTGCGATGCACTTTCAACAAAATTTGAAAATTTTTTGAATAATTTTTCATTTTTATAACCCAATCATCAGTTTCTTATCTATTTACAGGGTTGATAATAGGAAATGTTGTTTTTAGCCATATACATCGAAACGTAACATAACTATACTACAGAGGTCAAACTGGCAGATTTTGAATAATCTGGCTTCGCGCCGAACCCAAAACCTGCACATCTAAGTTGCGTCGGCGGGACAGTGGTTTTGTTGATGGCTATTCATCAGTACTTATCATTAGATTACAAAACATTGTTTAAGATGGTTGGCTCCTTGAAAGGCAATCATCAATTATCGTTGTTCATTTAATTGGTGTTTTTGATTTCGTTTTTCGGTATGACTCTGTTGCTCAGGCTGAGTGAGTGAATTCATTTTCTACTACTTGCTTACTGGGTGCGGCTGGTTGTGCCGTCTACTTACTGTACCACCTTTTGCTTCCATTACTGACTCCGATTCAGGGCTTCTTACTAACTTTCCTTGGGTACCTCGACTTGACCCGCTGTTTCTGTACTATAACCTGTGTGTATAAAAACGCTTGTAAAGATGATGCTCAGAAGTCGTAGTACTAATGCTAATAATATTATGGCTGGCAATCTGCCGGCGAAGCCAGGTTAGTTCAAGCTTACAGTATTTTTGGAATTATGAACGTTTAAGGTGATGCCCTCGCCAAGCGTGGACGGAAACCTGCTGTTATTGACGAAAATGTTATGAAGGGCGAGCCAAAAGCTAAGCGGGCAGCCCTCTGCGATCTGAGCAATGTAAGTTTTAATAATTTTTGTCCTTGCACGGATATCTTGTAGGCTATATCTAATGTGTTAATTGACTCTTCTAAGAAGAATATCAATGTCGAAAAGAAACAAATTACTAATAAGCGTGGAAGCAAACGATCTAACAGTGCTTCTGAGTTGAGCGTCATTCCAGAATCGGAGAATAAGTAAGTGTTGATGTGAAAAAAATCTCATTGTCTTTTACAGGGATGCATCTATCATCGAAATTCCTGTTGAAGATCCTTGTCCAAGTTATGACTTCGATAGTGAATGCGCTAATGATCCTTTCTCTGTCCACATGTTTGCTCTTGATATCTTCAAGTATGGACGTGCTAGAGAGGTTAGCTTTTTCCTAGAAAAATTTTAATTTTCAATTCGCTTCAGAAAGTTTTCCAAGTTTCTGATTATATGAAAGCTCAAAAGTTCGTTCGAAAGGAAAACAGAGCTATTCTCTGTGACTGGATGGTTGAAGTAAGATGACTGGGACATGTTAGTGGCAACCGGCGAATCTTTCAGATCCAAGAAACTTTCGAATTGAATCATGAAACCTTGTATCTTGCCGTTAAACTAGTGGATATGTACCTGGAATGTGAAACTAATACACCCAAGAGTGAACTGCAGCTAATCGCTTGTGCTGCATTGTTCGTTGCAAGCAAATTTGATGTAAATTGACAGTTTTGGATTTGACTTATCAATTGATCATTACAGGAAAGAAGCCCTCCACTAATTGATGACTTCTTATATGTTACTGATGAGACTTTTTCACGTGAGGATTTGATTAAAATGGAAATGAAACTTCTGAAGACTGTGGGATATGATCTCGGTGCTCCTTTGAGCTACAGCTTCGTCAGGAGATATGCTAGAGTGAGTATTAATCGTTACATGACAATCTGATCTATATTATCTCAGACTTGCCGTGCCGATATGGCCACTTTGACTTTGGCCCGTTACATTCTTGAGACTTCTCTTTTGTTCTACGAGTTCGTTGGAACTTCTGAATCCAGACTCGCTGCTGCTTGCTTCTTGCTTGCTCTCAAGATGAAGTCAAAGAATGCTACATGGTTTGTTAAATAGATGAATAGAAATTTTAACAAGATGCTGATTATAGGACACCAGTCTTGCACAAATACTCCGGATATCGCCAAGATGAGATTGAACCACTTATGAGCGAAGTCAACCACATGATGCATGTGAGAAAAGCTAAGTATTCCAACTTGGAAACTGTTGCTTCTAAATATGATCATGAGTGAGTGAATTTATCAAATTATTCATCTTAACAATTTCGATTATAGGGTGTTCTACTACTCGGCCTCTGTTCCACTTCTTGAAGATAAATTTGATGTTGAGAAACCCGTCCAAGCTCCTTTAGGACAAGGTTTTTAGTTACTGTATCTAATGCAAATACGTAATAACATGTATCTCATTCCCACGTTGGATACTATTTTTGTTCAAGTCTTTACAAGACTTATGGTATATAGAATGTATTCTCTACAAGATCTCCACCGGAGAGTTTTTAATTTTCAAACTGACCTATTATACGTTCTCTCATTGTAATCAGCGCGAAGCTCAATAAACATGCGATTATCATATTGTATTTCGATCTAATTGGTTGATGTTATCCATTGTATTTCAATAAAGCATGATTAAGAAAATACTTTCTTGATTTTGGATGGCTGGGAACTTTTGGGCCAGTTCACATCATGAGCAGTGGATGTTTGATAAGGCCGAGCTCCAACGATTTCGTTTTGAGGATTTTAAAGTATTCCCTGAAGAGGAGTATGATAAGTTTATGATTTTCTGGTGCAATCGTAAGAGAAAATAACAAAACGGAAGTGATATCGCCTTTTACAGTCATCCAAGCAATTGCATTGGAAGGAATTCCCTCGCAACCTAAAGCTCGTATGCAAGTGGTCGCTACTGCCATGGTGTACTTCAAGAGGTTTTACATCAGGTTTCGTCCACCGAGTTTCGAATTGTGATTTTCGTATTCAGGCATACCTTCAAGGATGTTGATCCTTTCTTGATGGCTTGTGCCTCTATTTTCCTCGCCTCGAAAGTTGAGGAACACGGCCAGATGAGCATGAGTAAGATGATGAATTGCATTCCAGCCCTTCGTAAGTGGAAAAACATGTAATGGAAAATTTATCGATTATTACAGTTAAGCGTTTCCCTAATATTAACTTTGACGCTTCTTCTAAAATCGCCGGTCTTTACGATGCAGAGTTCATTTTGGTGGAAACAATGGATTGCTGCTTAATAGTCTATCACCCATATCGACCACTGCTCACTTTCATGGCCGTAAGTCAAGCGTGCAAGAAACTCGACTTTTCTTTGTTCCAGGATATAGCCAAAGACAACAAGGAAGATATAACCGATTTAGAAGCCGAATCGTGGAAAGTGGTAAATGATTCTCTTCGTACTGACGCCGTCTTTCTTTTTCCACCTCATCTCATTGCCGTTGGTACGTTTGAAAACGTCAACGATTAACAAGTTTTCTGCAGCTTCGATCATTCTTGGAAGTCAGTTTTTGGAAAAAGAGTATTATATAAAGAATTGGTTACCGGAAATCAATATTGATCAACAATGCGTGAGTAGCTTCTCGCATAACACCTACTAATCACTTATTCCAGTTGATGGAATGTATCGAACTCATCTGTAATATGTATTTGGCTTATAATTCTATTAATGAAAAAGATGACGTAAGACACATTTCTATTTTCTTATCTCAGCTCTTTTTTTTTCAGTACAAGACTATGATAGAGAAACTTCCACGAATCCAAACTGCTCCTCCTAACATGGGTCCTGGTCAAGGTGGCATACACTGCAAAACCCAAATGGACCCCAAAATGCGTTACGCTGCCGCTGGGGATAGAGGCAGAGTCTGTATTTAGCTTACAAGCTGCATTATGCATTCCCAGATTTATACTTTATACATGTACTTACCATTTCTTACCTTCTTATCATCTTCTCATTGATCCCGGTTTATACTTAAATCCTTCGATTTGTTTTCACAGTGTCATCACGAATGAACTTTCATTTTGAACTCTTCTGTCTTATTATTCTCACTCAGTGGGTTTGATCGGGTTAGGCACTCTTGGGTTCGATTATTCAAATGAATTTCTATGATCACATTCAAGTTTTAGCACGGTTTGTCATGTTATGATGATCGAATTCGAAAACTCCTGTTTATCAATGAACTTGTTGCGCTCAACTGACAGGACGGATTTTCATTCAAATTCGGAAAGACGTGAAGGCTGTGCTGCCCTCCCTATACCGGAACTTTGTAAGTAGTTCTCGCCCTCAATCCAAATAGCACCATTGCAGTACAAAATAAGTGTGAGGACCATTCACCAGTTACTGTTATCACGGAATCATGACATCGCGCTCATATGAAATCCTATGTGTTGTTCTTCTTGGCCTTGGCCAAATGAGTATTATGACAGGATATGACACTCAGGTATTTTGAACTTAACCTCCTTTCCGGAATTTTCAATATTTGAGTCATTTGTACAAGAGTCTGTTATTCATTCTGTAAACGAACGAAACCCCAGCTTGATCGGACCATACGCCGGATACTATGGGTTAGGCTTCACTGTTTATTAAAGACTTTGTTGATTAAGACAAGCAACTTGCTATGTGGCTTATATGCTCAGTTGTCTGATTGCACCTGCGATAATGAGTATAGTTGGTCCAAAGAAAACATTGTTGTTGGGATCTTTGTGCTACACTTTCTATCAAGTCGGATTCTTCTTCCTCAACAGTTACTACTACTACACCTCTTGTGCATTGATGGGACTCGGCTTTGCACGTAAGATAACATTGTTAGACATCAATTATTGAAATTTACGGCTTTCGGAAACATCTTAGACTCTATTCGTAAGATATTTGAACATAATCCTTGAATCATTAGTTAACTATCAAGAAATGCTTTATAGTAACATGTGTTCGTTCGCCGACATCACCTGCTACTTGCGGGCAGAACGCCAGCGTTATTTCTTTATATGGCGTACTCTCCTTTTTTCAGTATATTATACTGGAAATGGTGGATATCTGACCTCTCACTCGACCCGACAGACTGTGGAGCAGAACTCAGCTATCGCTTGGGCAATCGCCTGTGTTTGGTGAGTAGAAATAGTGTGGCAGGGAGTGAGGTAAACCGAAGGTGTAAAGGGAATATATAGCGAAAGGGGAGAACATAATGAGAACTGTTAGTACTTTGACATAACTCTATGCAGGGGGCCGTTGAGGGTTTTTTTTTACCTCAATGATGTGACATCTAATAGTACCATATTTGTTAGATCATGACATACTAGATTAGATTCGGGACAAATAAAGATGAATGAGCAGTGACTTGCTACATTTCCCTCAAAATTTATGATCATCGCAGGAGATTATATAATAACAATTATTTTTTATTCTAGCATGCTTATTGGGGGAGGAATTCTAGCGACTATTGTTAAGATCAAGGAAGGGACCACACTGGACACCTTTACAAATGGCACAATGCATAATACCCATCACAGGTTTCGATCTGGCTAACATCATTTTACGAAACTCAATGTTAAAGGACATTCACTGATTCTGAGATCTTATGGATGTATGGAGCTTTCACACTATTCACCATTGTCTCCAACATCATTTTCTTGGTCATCCCGGAGAAAGAAATCGACAACTGTATTGAAGGAAAACAAGAAAAACGACCATCGTTCAATCAACAAATGAGTTCGATCTTACAGCATATCTCATGATACATTGGGGAAACTTTCAGAACTCATGTTGAACACATTCGCGAAGCCGAAAATGATTCTGCTCTCTCTCTGCTTTGTCCATTTAGGGCTGTACACATCTTTTTGGGTGTCTGTCTACCCAACTACCATGATATTCACAGAATCTCTACGAGATTCGAAGTACATAATCGCTGTCTACAGTGTTGCGGTCGGCAGTGGAGAAATAGCAAGTAGGTTATGAGAACCATAAGATATACAGACTTTACTTAAGTGGGCTTTGTCATTTCCTACATGAGCAGCAGAGTTCACAATTTTTGTTTGAAACCTGTTGCGTTGTTGAGTTTCGTAGGAACGCTCATTGTGGTTCTGAGCATCTGGGTATCTACTCCCCAGTGGGCAGCAGTCCGTCCCACAGATGAATTAGCTTGGCTGGTCCAACCTAGGTAAGTATTTTTTCCACTTCTTACCTGAACTCATTAAAGTTACCTGGTGGTTGGTACAATTGGATTTTTCCTGGGATTCTTCGATTCGTGTATCAACAACGCACGTCTCGTGATTTGTGCATTAGCCTTACCTAAAAATAGAGCACAGAGCTTTTCAATCTCCAAGTTCTATCAAGCTCTGGGAGGATCAGCATTGATGATCATGAGTCCTTATCTGTCAATAACTAATTATACTACGATTCTTATAATAAGCAGTACCTTATCAACCGTGCTTTATCTCGTAGTTTCGCACCAAATTGAGAAAAAAGAAAAGTCAGTCCATGAGTTTAAGAAAAACCCCGCAGTGGTGTTCGAGTGAGAATCTTCTTTCTTCTTTTCTTCATAGTATTCTTTCATTGAAATGTTCAAAGCTTCTCATTCGATTTTATGACTGTTGTATCATTTCTCTGAGAAAAAGGTTCATGATTGAACAAAAAAAGAAAACGCCTAAGCGCAAAAGAGATTAATAAACCCAAAAAAAAGGATCACGGGTTCATCCATATCGAAGATTTCTATCAACAAGATTGTTACATTTTGCTCATATTGTTGAACTTCCCTCTACGTAAAATGCCAATAAAGATGAAAGTGCAAGTTGTTTTCTTTTGAATATTTGAAAGTCATTGTTTACAATTCTCCCGCACCACTCCAACTAAACCTTCAAATTATTTATGTTTCTTTTGTTTTCTCTGCTCTAAGTTTAAAACCTAGTTGAGAAAGTAGGAATGCAGTTGTCCTGAACGGGAAAACACAAAGTAGAATCTCTAAGTATGAATAACAAGGATATTGAAATTTACAACGAACTTCTTTGACGAGTTTCGCTGATAAATCTACGATCTCCCTGAAGAGAGCAAGAGTGCACTTTGCGAACGCTTGACTTAGACTAAATCACAAAATTTACGTGGCATGATGTTCACGGACGCGTGAGCTAGCCAATCAGAGTTAGACGTACACGAATCAGCCAATCACGTGAGAGCATATGCCGTGAGTTCGTATTTCATCATAACTTGCAATGATATCGATACGTCATAAATTGATTTCTCCCCTCACTTCCCATTTAAATCCCGATCAGACAATTGACTCGGCTGATCGCAAAGATCAAAAATGAAACCTTTGTTCTATTCATGTTTTTGAGAGAATGAGCTCGTGGCTGGCAATGTCGTGAAACCTAGCTTCGGGAAGAGAATCTTTAATGATTTAAATAATAGAGGAACCGCTTTACAACTACAAAAACATGTAATAGTGGTTTGGTGGATGTGAATCTCATGTTCGCCATATAGTGCTACTCCAAACCCCAAGTATCATGTTGTTCGGTGAGCAAGCTCCTGTCGCTTGAAACAAATCAAAATAAATATTCAAATGAAGGATCAGAGTGCAGGGTGTTGTTGTTGATGCTGTAAGCGATCTGGGAACCAAGATTTTTTTGAGAAAGTTGCGAGTTTCGAACAGCTGAAGCAGATTTCAAATTTATACATAAGTTTTTGTAATTTGCGTTGTCAATAGGTCATAAAGTGACTGACAACTGCCGTCATTAAAACAAACTCAAAGGAACATTTTCCTTTGGAATCGTCTTGTCAGTCGTTCATATGAGCAACTTCAATCGTAACAACTTGTCGGATGAAAGAAAAACAAATCATAATAAATTACATTAGTTAAAATGTCTTTGTTTTCATGAGAAGTAGAGGTAGAATACAAAAAAGTTATTTTTTATGATATCAGGTATCAGTACAACGTCGAAACCTAGAGCTCGTCTGAAAACTTCAAAACTTCAATGTCTAATTGCTTTTCTTCTTCTGAGAGATCCAATTATTGATAAAAATCTCTTCTCAAAATTGTGGGATTCTCTTCTTTTATTTGAGACGTTCTCTTTCTTTTTTTAAAGCCTTCTTGAAATTTCTCTCAGCTTTATGTCCTCCTCCTGTACGGTTCGTAGTTCAGCATGAAGCTGTTCGCTTGCTCGATCATTCATTCTATCTATGCTCATTGGAGCTTCATTCGTTTTTGCTTCTAACAAGCTTCTGAATTTCTAAAAATCGTTTGTAGAGGACATCTGGACTACTGGAATCCAAATATTCGAATCAGCTTTTTCGATTGAAATTCGATCAGATGCATTTCATATCCCTACATAATCTCTTCAAAAAGTCTTCAAAGGTGAATGAGTATTGACCCACTATGGCCTCATACCAAACAAAACGACAATTTTCCCAAAGATATTTTGCTCGTTGACAAGTCGGACATTTAATTATCTGCTAATATCATAGACGTTCTCCTACTTTATCATATCTAAGATCATTTTGAAAATAAATATTTTCATACGGTCAATCAGATTTTGTTGTTTTGCCTCTTAAGGTCGAGCATACTCCATACTACGATGTTCACGTAGCAGATCAAACATCCGCTTGTCTGCAGTTGCAGTTGTCGGCGATTTCTTCAATGAAAACTTTTTTTTCGAAAATGATTGGGCTGGAAGTTAATTGGAAGTTTCTTTCAGCTTTTTTTTTGTTAAGAAAATTATGAATTCTGATGTCTTTTGTGTAAAAATAGACGTTTTGTGTGTGACTTCTTCGGACTTCTTATTTATTTGATCAGACATTTTACCTAAAAATGTCTTTTTTATTTACTGCTATACATAAGTTGTGCTCCATGCGACTGCATCTACTGCTTGTATCTTGGAAGAGAAAGGTGGAGAAGTGTCAGAGCCTATCAGGCTAGTGAGCATGTTGCTTGATGCTTCGTAAACGGACTATTACATACGACGAAGTATGAAAGACGATTATCACATTGCTCATAGCTCTACATAACCCGAATCCCTCTTTCGGTATCTTGTCTGCTTTCTTAAAGCTTTATTTCGTGCCTTCTTTCACATTTTAAAATCTTAGCAATGTTACGATGAAGTCAACATGTCTTTCCATGTCATTTAATGTACAACAAAGCAGATGCGAAGTAAGCATTAGCTTTGCTCAACTTTTAAGTCATGCGGAGCCATGTCGAGGTGAAGAATTTGTCAAGTCCAGATTGTGCTTTTCGTCCCATTTTGCTGTCCCATTTGACAATTAGAAATCTTTCATCTGTTTTCTGTTCATCTTCAACCTCTCGCCACACCATTATTTTTCTTTCATTTTCATTTATCCTAATCTCATTTCTCAACACAATCACCTATGTTATCTTCTGCATCAGAAGAGTGCTCATTTTCTTTTTTTTTGTTTCTTCAACTTTATTCTTTGCAATAGCTTCTCACTCCATCAGTTCTTTCCTATTCTTTTTTTTTCTTTTCTAATTATTAATTCAACTTTATAGTGTTGTCTTACGAAAAGCCTTTTCACCCTCTCTCTCTCTCCCTCTTTCATTTTCTGTTCAGCAATCCCTGCTATCTTCTTCCATCGTTAAAGTCAATTGTGAGTTCACAATGAGTGTAAAATCCTCTTCGGATGTTGTTGTTGTTGTTGTTATTTTTTGCACATTTTTATTTAAAAAATAAAAAAAAAGCGATGAATGAACAACAACCATTTATACTTGAGTGTTCTATGCACAATTGAATGCAACCGCTCTCCACTTGTTCACATTTCAAATATGACTTATCCACGTTCACGTAAATCTTTTGACGTCAAATTAGCATATTTCATTGTAAATTACAAAAATTTTGCGTTTTCTCTAATCTTATGCACAAAGAACAATCATCTTTCATTCTTAATCTTCTTTTTATAACCAAATATGGAGAAATAATCTTTACCTCATTTATCACTTGTTTTTTGGAGACATTTTGACAAATTTAAAAATCAAAAAAACAATGTTTAAACGTTGTGCCAATTGGCGCCCAAAATGGAGACATACATGATTGTCCGTCTGTCTGAGCCTTTTTTGAGTTCCAGACTCACACACACACACACATACACACCCACAGAACATGCTTGAAAAAGGAAGCTTTTTAAAAAATTTAAAATGAATGGGAGAATCATTTCTTTTGGTAGGTTTTGTGAACACTTGATAAAATGGTTTAAGTTCAAAAGAATTTAGCAATGAATGAACAAGAGCTCATTTAACACTTTTTTTTCATTTTTCCTCATCTCCGACCATACTCAGAGAGAACGATTGATAGAATGCAAGTACATACCAATCGCTATGTACAAAGAAAAAGTGAAGATTTTTCATATTTTTGTGATTGTTTCTTCCTCTTTCCTTTTTTTTTATCTCGCAGAGAGAAAGATAGAGAGAGAGAGAGCGATAAAGAGGGAAAGAAAGAGAGAGAGAGAGATAAAGCATTGACTCATTTGTCAGCTCAGTTGATGCATTCGGATTGTCGTTTTATCTCCTTAAAATCTGATTCCTTTTCTGGTCTGAAGTCATCTGTCTCTCATATTTTGGCTTTTTCTTTTCCATTTTCTTCTATCCATTACAAGTTTGTCAATGGCACGACGTGCTTATGTTCACATTTTGTCGTTCAACTTCTGGTGACATAAATTTTTTTGCTGCTCTCTGCTCTTCGTTTTCCATCAAAATTTGTTTGTTTTTCTTGTGTTGGCACAGAATTTCGAACATATTCCGAGATTAATATTATACAAATGAAATATTTCATTTCTCTCTCTCACTGCTTTCCACTCTTCGTCAATCTCTTCACTGATGGCGAGGGGGAGAAATCAAACGGAACTCTCACATTGGTGCTCAGCTGCAATTACAGTTTCGCTTTTTTTTGTGAGACATATTGTTGAGAAAAAAAATATTTTTTCGTTTTCTCCCTCTCATCCTTCTACTACTCCTCCTCCTCCTCCATCTTCTGCTTCATTCCCTTCTGGTTGTTTGGAATTGAGAAAGAAAAAAAGTTTATTTTAAGTTGTTCATCACTCAATATCCCATTGTTTCAAGACATTTCTTGGGTGGCAAACCTTACGAATAAAGCCAGCTGTCCTCAGATTGTTTCTTTTAGTTTTGTGTCCGAAGTGATGAATGTCAATTAGATAAATGCTTTCTCTGTTCTCTGTTTTTCTTTATCATTAAAATGATATTACGCTTTATGTTATCTGGCTATTGAGAGAAGGCTGCGCTTGTCTCTCTCTCTCTCTCTCTCTCTGTCTCCCAAAAAACTTATTTTCTATTACTTTATATGGATATATCTTTATGTTATAATCTATTTAAGATGTATTGTCTGCTCATAAGACGAATAATCGTTTTTATAACAAAGTACTTTGTAATTCAATTGCCAACTCTCCATTCATTCTCCAATCATTGCGTTGCTCAGGCAGTCTCATTGAGCTCAGAAACACATTGGGATTGTCATCTGACGGCCCTGTCTGAGCTTTTTTTGTATTTCTTTCGTTTGGCTAATTA